TCAGCTTCATAAAACAGTCCTTTAGACTATAAAGAAAATAAAATTTTGTTCAACCATGTTATATATATATTATGTATACTGAAGTTTTAGTTAGTTTTTAAAGTTACATATTTGGTTTTCTTTACCTTTATTGATTTCTCTTCATTTTTACTTCTTTCATGAAACAGCTCGATGCTTGGTTCTTTTTCTAGTAACAAGCACTTTGGCACTTGCCTTGTCTCAAAAGTTTTTCTTTTACTGACAGTCTCTACATCAGAATCTTCGATCACGTCTGATATATTCTTTTGTGTGAGTCCCAGTAATGGCTTGTTTTCCAGAGTCAGTTTTCTAAGACAGGGCTTTTTTCTACTAACAAAAAATGCCGCTCCACCCTGGAGTGTAACTTGTGGTTTGACTTTTTGGCTTAGAACCCGAGGAGCATTCAGATTATTTTGAGCTGAATAATAATTATTCCCTTTCTCTACAGTGGGCTTATAGGCCACTCGATTTTGCTTGGGATTTTTAGAATTCTTTGATAGAGGCTTGATGTATTTATATTTTGGTTGATATTTAGAAGTTAAACTCTTTTGTGGTTTTTTATTCAACCTCTTAGAGCAGACTGGTTTTCCCTGCATTTTTTCTGTCACCACGGGAAAAGATTTGTCTTCATTATTAGTTTTTAGACAAATGGACCTATTCGCGTTTATCAATTTTCTCTCTAATGGGTTGAGGTACCATTTATTTTTGTTGTAAAAGGATACAGTAGACACAGCAGATTTAAATGGTGAACCTTGATTTGCAGGTGGAAGTCTGTTTTTTTTAGTTGTTTTGAGTGGACTTGAAAGGAAATGGCCCTGTTGAGGGCAATGTACATTTTCTTCATTTTTATCACTGCTTTGGCAAATGTAATTTTGATCAGGTGATGGAAATATATTTTCAGCAAAGTCCAAAATTAATTTCTTTGATGGAATGTCTGATAATAGGCTATGAAAAGAAACAAGGTCCAATTTTAAGTATCATTTTGCTTCAATTTTGTGCCAATCTACTGCTAAGTAATAAACAACCATACTTGTAGGTCATACTAAAAACAATACATCCTGTCTACCAAACACCCATCCATACACATTATCTATTAGTTTAACAATAGGATTCTCAAATTAGGTCTTTACCAAAGCATTCAAATATTTTTCAAAAGTAAAGTCCCAATAATGCTTGCAAAAACAAACACTGTTAACAAAAAAGCTTTGATATTGTGTGTGTGCACGCGCTTTAAAACCTATTTCCAAGTTTTGGCCATATACTCAGAGCTCACCAGGCTTGACTGGCTACAAGTTTCCTAAAATTATTAATTCTATGTAATAAACTGACCCCCTCAAGCCTGTTCTGTGGGGAGTAATTTATCTATTATGACATGGAGTAAGCACTGAGTAAACAGACTTTCTAGGATTGCTCACAGAAGAGTACTGTATGAAAAACACTATGTTAATTATTATATAAGAGAACAGAAAGGAGCAAGGTAATAAAAGATTTGACATACATTTCCAAGTCACAGAAAACAGCTCTTCCTGATTCTCTCCAAGGGCACTGAATAATTAATTTTGAAAGCTTACAGTATTTCCAGATTAGAATTAGAATATAAAATGTTACTATAGCCACAAGGAGTAGACAAGTGGAATAATGGAAATTTTAAGAAACAGAAGAGAGAATATAAGAAAGACAAGAAGGTGGATTTTTCTTTAAGAGTTTCTAACCACAGGATGAGACTCACTTGTCATAGTTCGAAGAATGCTGCTTCCTTTTTCTTGGAGTAAAAGCTGACATCTTCTTAACTGAACTCCTAAAAGCAATAGGAAAATTATAATAACTGAATTTATCCAATATGTACAAAAATCACTATATCAAAATTACACTTTTAGAGTCTGAAAAGGTTTTTTGATGGATGAGGTATTTTTTTTTTAAAGATTTTTTTTATTTATTTATTTGAGACAGAGAGAATGAGAGACAGAGAGCATGAGAGGGAGGAGGGTCAGAGGGAGAAGCAGACTCCCTGCCGAGCAGGGAGCCCGATGCGGGACTCGATCCTGGGACTCCAGGATCATGACCTGAGCCGAAGGCAGTCGCTTAACCAACTGAGCCACCCAGGCGCCCGATGGATGAGGTATTTTAAAAAGCAAATCACTTTGGGGCGCCTGGGTGACTCAGTCGTTGGGCGTCTGCCTTCGGCTCAGGTCATGATCCCGGGGTCCCGGGATCGAGCCCCGCATCGGGCTCCCTGCTCGGCGGGAAGCCTGCTTCTCCCTCTCCCACTCCCCCTGCTTGTGTTCCCTCTTTTGCTGTGTCTCTCTCTGTCAAATAAATAAATAAAATCTTTAAATAAATAATAAAAGCTTATTAAAAAAACCAAATCACTTTAATGAACACTTAATAAACAATAAATTTAAAAAAAGGAAAACACTGCATCACCATAGCAATTAAGAAGAAATAAAAGCAGAATTAGTACATCTGTTTCAAGCTGGAAAATGACCCTACGAAGGAAGAAGTATTTTTTTTTAAATTCCATTTCAGGACACATTTTCCCCTTTAGTCAGCCTGATTAATTAACACCAAATTTAAATACTCTATTGGGATATCTCCTTGTTGATCTCCCTCACCAGAACCTACACTTCCTTAATAAGCCATTTAACACATTTTCTTGTTGGTTTAACTGTCTTCCTCAACAGCCTGAATGCTCAATGAAGGCAGAGACCGTTTCTAGCTTTTTCTTCAGAGTTCAGCAAGAAAACGGGTTTAGCATAATCCTCTCCCATCTTACTAAAGAGCCTGGAACAAGCCGCTTGTTCCTTGTTTATAAGACTTGGACCTCCTCCGGCTGCTGAAAATAAACACAATCATGCACGTTAAGTCTCGAGCATGAGACAGCCTGGTTATGTTGCTCAGTAGTTTCTTCTCCTTCCTTCGGATCAGGTACATTAAAAAAAAAATAATACGCAAATATGATTTCAAGGTGAAACAGAAAACCAAGGTCTCTGGAACTCAATGTTGAGTAGCGGCTTAAGAGAAGACACTTCTGGGGCTGAATGAGGAAAGATATGACAGAAAAGCGCGCCTGTTCCCGAACCTTGTCAGGGCAAATAGACAAGGAAACCCTAAGTCAGAAAAATGGAAACCTGGCGACCTCAAAGTGCGGAGAACCCCCGGTGGTTTCGGTCTTGAGCCGCTGTGGCGCCAAGCCCTGAGCTAAAGGTCTTTTTCCTTGACATTCACCCGCACGTTCCACAGAATCTCCAGTTCTCCTCAGTCTTCCGCCCCACGCCTCGGCCCCCGCAGCTCTTACCTGAGGTTCGAAGCCGGGAATCTCTCTTTGGAGGAGCCAGTTTCTCCTCCACTGTATTCAAATTACCGCGCGCCCGTGAAGGCTAAAGCTGCTGCGTTCTGATTCGCCGCTTTTCAGACCTTCCAAGGGCTGGCTCGGTGATTGGTCGCTCACTAGCCGTTGCCCCGCCTATCCGGGAGGTGGTCTCCAAGATTCTCCCGCCCTTAGCAGGTGAAATGCTCTCTTCACGCAAGGAATCCACGCCTTCCATAATCCCTTGCGGCAGCTCCGGGCTCCGTTCTCGAGGTCGGGGGGGGGGGGGGGGGGGAGGGTCTGGTTTAGATGCATTCTGGGAATTGTAGTTTTCGGCAGAATAAAGTCACCCTCTTGAGGTTGAGGTACCTTCTGGGGTTACTTGGTTTAGCATGTTTTTGTAAAGTAGCCTCCCCAAGATTCTCGAGGCAGTTATCTTTCACATTTGAAGCTTTGTCCATTAATTTAACTTTTTTTTATTAGTAAAATGTTAGATTTCTAGTTCACTTTTTATTTTTCAACTTAAATTAAAAAAATTAAATCATGGCTCTAAGCATCTGTGATGTGCCAGGCAGTCTCACACCCTTTACGAGTTTTATTTCATTTACTTCTCCTCACAGCCTGTGAGATATGTATTATCATTCCCATTTTACTGAGACTAAAACCGAGGGCCTGAAAACAAGTACTATTTATAGGATATAGCTAGGTTCTCGCTTTGGGAAGCCGTACGGTTCTTAAAGTACCCATGGGTTGTCAGCTACTGTTATTATCTTTGTGTCACCAGATCCTGGTAGTCTTTGGCACATTTTTAGTTCTAAATAAATTTAGTTAAAGGAGGCACTTTACTTCATAGAATGTAGTCTGTCGGAGTGAAGAGAAATAATCAGGTCAAAACTAACTGCTGGGGAGCTTTATATAAGTAATATTATTCCCATTTGACAAAAACAGTTAGATTTCTAAGTTTCATTTGTTTGGAATTTGCCCTATCACAGAGGTAATAGATGGCCGATCTTAGATTTAACGGTAGAACAGTCCCGAGTCCAAACCCCAAGAAGCATATGCCTCTGGGGAATATCATTAACAAATCACTTTAGTTGAGCGCTCACTATGTTCTAAACCCTTTACGCCTGTTAACTTACTTAACCTTAGAAAAATAATCTATGAATGAGTTGCTCTATTCATCTTCATTTTGTAGATCAGGTAAGTGAAGCACAGAATGTGCCCAACAAACGCCTTACAAGTGGTGGAGAATATGAATAGTGGAAGAATTCGCGTTCATTTCAAAATAAAATGAGTTCCTACTACGTGCCAAATACTGTGATTGGCGCAGTGAACGCTTATCTGTGAAGAAGGCAAATGGTTTCAATGCTGTCAGGGAGCCCGTCAGCGGGTGATGGGTAGCAAATATAACCAACATATAGGCCCATTCGATGGAGATTCTAAAAATAAGGTCGGCCAAAAGTATTTATCTTTTAAGAAGATAGAATCTCCCCGCTGCGTTTCCCAACCACGAATTGTCCTAGCTCCATCTACTTTCCTTCTTCAACTCGCAAACCAATGAATGCCATTAGCCCGCCTGCACCCTCCCCCGCCACTGGCACCCTTCGTACCCCGCCCCCCCCGCCGCCAGGATTAAAGATGGCGCCAACGGGCTGGCGTTATGACGCGACCCGACGTCCGCCGGAAGTGTGCGAGGAGTTCCGGGAAACAGGCGGCCTCCGCTTTCTGGTATCCTGAGCTGGCGAGTTGAGTGCTTGTGTTTCGCGCTGGAGTATCTGCGCCGCCGCGGGGAATCATGGTGTTCTACTTTACCAGCAACAGCGGTGAGTGGGCGCCGTGACCTCCTCCATCCTTGCTCGACAGCGGGGCTCCGAAGCCGGGAACCCCAAGCTGCTGTTCAGCCTGAACTTCATCCTAAAGCTGCTCCTCCTCGGCAGTGGGTGCTTCTTCCTGCCCCCTTTCGGTCCCCACTTTGTGTCCGTCCCTGTCGTCCCCGTGTGCCCCTTTTCAGGGCCTGGGGGGGCGTAGATGGACCATCACCCCTGCTGTCTTTGCATCCGGGAGTTGTTTTTCCTCGGAAAGACCTCCCTTCGCTACCTGGAATTGGGCAGTTTGTGGGCTTCTTTACACCCCCGTCGCAGGTGTCACTGTGCCCACCTCCTTGGCCTTTATTCTGACTGCGTCCTGGTAATTACCCACTTTGTGGGAGAAAGGAGACACCTGCCAACCACACTGCCTTCCAGGAAGTGCGCCCTACCCCTCTAGGAGAGCGTTGTAGGTCCTGGAATGCAACAGAAAACAATAAAAAGACCGCGGAGTGGCGGTACAGCCGCTCACTGGGCAGAGTTGACGTCCCAGATCTCAAAAATTGACATATGATAGTGTTTCTGATTTGTCTTTGGCAGCCAAGGAGAGCGTGCTTTTAGTTCCCAGGAAGTGCTATATCTTGACCTCGTTTTTTCTGCGTATGTTGTTCCCTTTGCCTGATCAATCGCATTAATTCCCGTAAGACAGCTCTGGCTCATCTTTTACAAATGACTCTCCCAGCCTAACTCCCACCCAGAGGTTGCTTAGCTAAACCTCTTTGGGGCACTCTCTTAACACCCCGTGTGTATCTTTGGTATTGCTCTTATCATATGGTATTAAATGCTGTCTGCTTCATCTAGAGTGTAAGCTTCTTGAGGACAGGGGCAGGATCTCCTTGTTTCCCTAGTCTAGTGCCTGGCTCATAGTAGTTAATAAATGCTTGTTGAATAAAGGTATTTTTTGACTTAGTCATAGCACATACTATTCTGTTGTTACTCTCTTTGCTTGCTTGTTAAACGTGAGATTTAAGCGGAACTAGCCCCATGTTGTTGAATAGGGTGATGATACTTTCCCTAAAAATGAGAACAGTAAGGCCCAGGGAATTTGCTCACAGACTGCTCCCCCCCCCCATTCCATCACACTGTCACATCTCATTATTTTTTTCAGTAGTCTAGATTTCCACAGGGTGCCATAAACCATTTCCTGCCTTTATAGATTTGGATTGTCTTACCCATATTATTAAAATTACCAGAAACAATTCACACTAGCCTGAAAAGCCGTTATAGGCCCCTAATAGCATCCTCCCTCTTTTGTTCACACTTTGTCCTAACTCCAACATCTCTTTTTAGCTTCTCCACTCATGAGAGTTCGCGACAACATAGGTATCCAAAGAAGCCCAACAATGGAATAAAAAATACAGGCAGGGTATATAGGTACTACATGTATTTTATGTTAGCTGCCTTATTCTCCTTAAAGCCATTCTAAATTCTTAGAGCACTATTCATATTTACACAGATGCCTGTAATAGAACAATGTTTCAACAGATTATGGGTCATATTTTTCTCATTGGCTTCCATTAAAAGGTTAGAACTGCTTCCTGTTGGAAAAATATTTGGACTTTAACAAAACGTACTTGGGCAGCAAATCTTTAAAATTGCAAAAGGGGCGCCTGGTTGGCTCAGTCGGTTAAGCGTCTGCCTTCAGCTCAGGTCATGATACCGGGGTCCTGGGATGGAGCCCCATATCGGGCTCCCTGCTCAGCGGGGATCCTGCTTCTTCCTCTCCGTCTGCCCCTCTCCCTCTCTCAAGCTCTCATTCTCTCTCTCTCTCTCTCTCAAATAAATAAAATCTTTTAAAAATAAAATTGTAAAGTTAATGAAAAAATTATAACTTTGTCAGTAAAATAGTAATAAAACTTTAACATATTCCATTAGAGAAAACAACCTAAACATACAGAATCTCCAGGAAATGACTTCATATAGCTAGCCAAGCTTTTCAACCAACTTCGGGTTTACTGTATAAGAACTTTTTTTAAATGGGGAGAAAATCTCAATATAAAGTTATTGCCTTTCCTTTTAAAATTAGTATCTAAAATCTCTTAAACTTTATTCATGTTTCATGCTCTGTCCTAAGGAAATAATGAAACATTAGCCTTACTGTATTTCCACTGTCAAATTCAAGACCATCTGATTTATGGACCCACGAAGTATCTGCACTTGGCTCATTAAGTGCATCTGTACTTTTAGTACCTTTTAATTGCGTCTACCTCAAGATAGATTGTTATGTAAATTATGAAATTATCACAGAGCCTCTAAAGTTGGATTGGTTGCTACACCTGAATCCGATACCTTTAAGATGACTAGTTTCATACTAATTAACCCTGTTCTTTGGGCAAGAGTAACAAAAGTACTAGAATAATTCAATTTACATTTCCTTTATCCCTATTAACATACACAGGAACTTCATTCAGACTTCTTGCTCAGCAGTCATGCTCCTTTTTATTTTGAATTTTCTATTTTGACTAATTACGGTCTTTCAGGAAAGTTACAAAATTAATAAAAGATTTCCTTTATAACCTCTCAGATCCCCCAAATTCTAACATTAGAACTTATTTCTTTCTTTTCCTCTTTCTTTTTCTTCATCTCCCTCTCTCCACATACGCATGCACACGTACACACACACACACATTTTTTTCTTGAGCCATTTGTTGGTCACATTTTACCCCTAAATACTTCAGGGTTCCCCCCCAAAATCAAAGATGTTCTATTATCAAAAAGCATTCCTCATTATCAAAATTAGGAAATTAACATTGCAGCAATACTATTAACTCATCAGCTTTTATTCGGTTTTCATTGGTGTCCTAATAATGCATTTATAACAAAGGAACATTACAAATCGTTGTTGCATTCAGTTGTCATTCATACTCTTTGGCCTATTCTAATCTGGAGCAGTTGCTCAGTCTTTGTCTTTCATGACACTGTTGTTGAAGAATTATTTTGTAGAATGCCCCTCAGTTTGCATTTGAGCTATGTTCTTAATCACCTCATTTTATAGTCAACCATCCAAACAATTGTCTGTCACTCTCTTGGCTATAATTTAGATGGCTTAGCCTGCACAAACAGCTTTATTTTATTTTAATCATTTGAAAAATTACTTTCGTTCTGATTATAAAAACCATCCATATGTTTGGTAAGCCAGCTAGCCAAGGTAAGTATTGTTAACAGTTATATGTATATCTTCCCATACATATAAAGAAAATAGGTACATATGTTAAGCATCTAGTTGTAAACATGCATATACAACTATATATTCATTTTTTACAAATTGAATCTTGCTGTATGTATAGAAAAATACTGTTATTTAACTTCTACCTTTTGTTTTCAGTGGGTAGGTGGTATTTTGTTTATGGATGTTCTGCAATGTGTTTAACCAGTCTTAATGAGTGTTTAGGTTGTAAAAAGAACATCATTGCTTGATAGAGTAATTATAGCATATACTTAGTGGTGACATTACAGGATCAAAGAGGGTACACATAGGATAAGGCTAGGTTGTTCAGAGACAATCTGAAATGGTTTTATTTCTGCGCTTCTGCCATTTGTTATCATGGCTGTTCTGGCTATGCTAAGGCCTTACCAAGCTAATGTAATGCTCAATTATAGACAAGTATTTCTGTCAACTAGTCAGAGCAAATATTCTCTCCTTTCCAGAGAGTTCTCTCAACTACTTCCAGGTAATTTTGAGTTGTGATCATTATAACCGTTGACTGAAGGAAATGGGATTTTCCTTCCCCAAGAGAGGCAACTATGATTGATAATTTAAAGAGCTTCTCATTGCTGAAAGTACAGGCAATTTATTTAAGAATTTAAGAATTTATACATGAGCGTGCTACCCCCTGGCCTTCAGAGCTCCACTCACATGTACTAGTTCTGTGCTCTGAGTGACAGCCAACAAGCTGCCCCGACTGGGGGCCCAGTGACAATATATTAACTCAGGAATTTAGATCCAGATGGGGTCAAACAAGTTTGGTAGACTAGCTTGGAAACCCAGTGCCCAGATAGAATTTCAGTTTCAGAAACTTAACTTTTTGTTTGACTCCAGATGGAGGATGCCTGCGGTAAAAGACACTAGCTCAGTAAAGCAAATGTCATTTCCAAGGTAAGCCATACCTAGAATATTCAGTTTGGTTTAAGGCAGTGGTTCCTAACACTCACTTCACATTGGAAATAGTTGAAGAGCCTTTAAAAAAAACACACCATTGCTTATCCACCAGAAATCTGGATTTGGTTAGTCTTAATGGAGCTGGGACATAATTAGGTGATTCTAATGTGTAATCGGGGTTCAGAGTCACTGATTTAGAAGATGCTTGAAAAACCATCTTTCCCCAGAATGGGATAGTCCATTATAATCTGCAACACACCTGGAAGGTAACTAATATTGCCTAAATAAAAGGCAGTCATGTCAAAAACTAGTTGAGTTTTTTCATAAACTAAAAGTTGAGTTTTTTCATAAACTTTTATTTAGTTTATGAACTAAGTATAGTTCATCAACTATAGTTCATCATTTAGTTTATCAACTAAGTATAGGAGCCTATTTTTAAATGGTTGAGGTGAAGGTTGGGTTGTTGTTTGTTTTTTTACTCTTTTGAAGAAGGCAAAAGTATAGGACTGAACTGGAATTGTATTGAACTGTATCCCTGATGAAAGTAGGGAAGTGGCTATTCTATAATAAGGGTCAATAAACTTGTTCTATTTGGGCCAGGTGGTAAATATTTTACACTTTGTGAGCCACATACAGTCTCTGTAGCTTTATTCTTCCTCATTTTGTGTTTTCAACTCTTTAAAAATGTAAAAGTCGTTTCTTAGCATGGGGGCTGTCCAAAAACAGGGCTGGATCTGGCATCTGGGCCATGTGTTGCCAACCTCTAATCGAAGCATTTGTCATGTATTTTTCCCATGAAGCAGTTTTGTTGGGGATGAAGTTCTCTAACTGTTTTTTATATTTTTGTTTTGTCTTAGTTAACTCATCTGCTTACACTATTTACATGGGAAAGGATAAATATGAAAGTAAGTTTTTCAAAAGCATTTGATTTTGAAATTTCCAGCAGGTAAGTGTTAACTGCCTTCTCCCCCACCCCCCACAGTTGGTCGGATATGAGTTTTCAGCTAACTACTACTAGTTAAGCCCATTATGAGGAACTTCAGTGGGTTAACTTTCCTAGAATTTAGTTATATCAAATAATATTGGGGCCTATTGGACCACTTGTTGCTGATTAGAAACTTAACTTTTACTAAAAGTTTTGTGGTATTGTTTGATTTAGGGTGATACGAATCAGAGGTTAACCTGTGCTAACTTATGGAAGTAAAAATCATCTGTGACTTGACTGAAAAGATAATTTTCTGTACGTTTTTACCACATTTAAGAATAGAGGAAACATACTTTTAGGGTTTTTGAGGCTAAAGATGGCTCTTTTTGAGTTATGAAGTGTTAACATTTTTTCAAGCTTTGTTGATCACTCTCATCAGAATGAAATCCATTATTCCATATTGTACACACTGATGTAACTAAAACGAAAATTTACAAAAAAATACCCATACTCTTTGCTATGCCCTCTTTTCTGTTTTGTTTTATTTTTACAAAGCTAGACTCAACCAGCTAAATTAATTTCTTGACCCACTAATCAGTGTGAACTAAAGTTTAAAAGGGAAAACTGCTTGCTCTGGAGTAGTAAGTTGACAGCACTGAGCTGAGGGAGAAAAGATCTGCAGCAGGGGAGCTTGGAGACCTGACAGAAGCACTCTGCTTTAAGCTTGGAGAAAACACAGTGGCTCCTCTCACAGGGGTAGTGTCACATTTTGGAAAAGAGTTCTCTGAAGTCAGGCCCATCTGTGTTAAAATCCCAGCTCTTAGCAGACTAGCTGTAGTACTTCACCTCTCTGAACCTCACATTGCTGAGATGTAAGGAGAGCATCATGGGCCAGTATCTACCTTGCAGGGGTGTGAGGGGTAAATGAAAGAGCCTGAGTAAAGCGCCTGGCCCAGGGTGGGTGCTCAGTAAACTGATGGAGTTTTTTTAGCTCTCCAGAGCTGGCTCCTCCCTCTCCTGGGACCACTCCAGGGCTGGGTGACCGCTTCAGTAATCTGAGAGCTGGCCAATTCCCTCCAATTACTTTTCTTTAACCTCCAGGTATTGCTTCCCCCCCCCCCCCCCCCCCGCAAAACCATCAGTCTGTTCTAGGTGCAGTTTGAAACTGACAACAGTTTAAACTTGATTCTCTAAAAGAGGCAAGTATAACATTCTTCAGTATGAGACATTTGACATGAATGAAATAAATAAAGCCAGAAAGGAAAAAATGTCAAAGAACAGTAATGTTGTATATTACTGTAGTATATATAGATATATAACTATAGTTAACATATACTCATATCTAATAGAACACATACAGTGTAACATATATAAAATATGTAATGTGATTTATGTAATAGCTGTGTAAATATATATAGTTATTATTCAGATCTATATAAATGGTTTAGAACTTTGCAATGATACTGGTTGCCGTAAAGCAGAATCAGAATAAGCAAGACTATTACATCCTATCCAAGAGAAAAAAAACAAAAACAACCATAAAATAATTTTTAAACAGTTTTTCCTTACAATGAATTTATGCCATTGTCTCTGGTGTGACTTATGGAGAAGCAGTCTGCTGTATATTAATACTTGAGTTTTCTATTTCTCCTAGTAACTCATACATCATCATAGGTAATTTGTATTTTTTTCATTGCATCCTCCTGATGAATGTGGCTGAGAAGAGGATGCTATCTCCTTGTATGACATTGAGCAAGGAGGCACTGTTAGAACCAGTCCTGGTTATCTACAGTAGATATGGATCCACACCTGGTCAAATCTGCTTTTCTTTCTACCACATCGAGGATGCAAGCCCAAGACTTAGGTTACTGAGAAGCACCTAAAGGAGAGCTGCTGCGTACGGTTGTGAGGGTTTTGCACTGTGTGACTCTGGGCCGGGAACTTTCTTACAGTGAAGGACTGCACTGATACTGCTTCCCACTGATGGGCTCCTGGTGGTACTGACCTAAGGCAGCTTTGCCAGTGACATTCCCACCATGTCTCTTTTTTCCTTCCATTTTAGTTTATCATTTGCTGGGGCTGATCTTCTTGGGGCCATATGCCAACCTGTCTGAGTAGCCAAAGAGGAAGATGTGGTCTGTGCTTTTACAGCATTAAAGGTGGAGACGTGCACATAAAAATAATGGGTTATTTTGCTGTGAACCTAAAATTCTCTAAAAAACGATGCCTGTTTTAAAACGTATAGGTGAAATGAAGCAATATGAGTAAGTGCTGTAGCAGTAGAGGGGGCAGAGAGTAAATGTGATTGCGAGAGAACCAAGCAGGCTTCGTGGAGAAGGGTTAGGATGGGCCTGATTGCAGCCCATTTAAAGGAATGTCGGTTGTAGAAACTTGTATCTACAGATATAAATCTAGATAGACAATTTATGCCTACAGATGTAAATTTAGATTCTTTCCAGAGCCCACTGGAGTAGTGTTTTGCTGTCATTAAAATGTATGTAGAAAAAAATCTATGTATAGAACTTTTTTTCCCCATGACCACTTGGAGTCATTTGGAGGTGTCAGCTTTCCTAGTCTGCTTTGTAAGAAAGGTATTACATTTTTAAAGTACCCCATTTTCTAGTGCTCCTAGCACTTCATACTTATGTCTAATAGCCTTGATGACTTCATACAAATGACTAGATGGAACATAAATGAATTTTTAATTGAATAATTAACTTTCACTAAAAAGCTTGCAGATGTTTTCTTTTGATTAGCCAGCAGGTGTCACCAGGGAGCCAAACATTGCCTGACTGAGGAAAAGAGGTTTTTATATTTCCCTTTACTTTTTTTGATTACTTGTTGGCTATTGGCTCAGCTTCCTGTTTAAGCTAGTAGAAAGCCCTTCAGAAAATTTATGGTGTCTGCCGTTTCTGAGAGTACCCTCATCCAAGATTTATCATCCTTTTGTTTTTCTGGAAAATGAATACCTTTCAAGTTAGATAGATTATACTCTCTTGGGTACATTTTAAACCATCATATCAATCATTTTGTTTACCTTACAGTTTTTAACCTTGTGTCTAATACTTTAAATAATGCTTTTGTATTAAACACAATTAGTTTCTAATTATTAACGTGGCTACTGGGAATGTATATTGATATTACCTTTCTGTAGTGATATATGTTATTAGCCTTAAAAATGTGAAAGTATACATTTTGAATGAATCATTCACCTTTTATAAATATGCTTTGAAAGAAATAATCAGGAATGTGGACATGTTTATTTTAAAAATATTTACTGAACCATTTATAATTAAAAACAATCCAAATCTGAACAGTAGAAAAGTTTATTCACATGATAGAATTAAGTAGTCATTGTTTCCAAAGAACTTTTTCATTTTTTATTTTACTTTGATCTAATAAATACATAGCTTAAAATTTGAAATAATAACAGAATGCATATCATAAAAACATCAGTTTTTCACCCTGTCCTTTCCAACACCCATGTTCCATCCCACAGAGACAGTTAGTTTTAATTTCTAGCTGTTTCTTCTATTTTAGTTTTCTTTTTGTATGTGACAGAATTTTAGGTGATTTTTATTTTCTTTTTTATACTTCTGGTGGTTGTTTTATCTTCTAATGTTCTATAGTTTTATAATTGAGAGGTCTTTTTTAAAAAGTAAAATGCAGTCCACTGATTAGCAAAGCCATTTTAACAAATAAGTTTCTTACAGTGAATCAATTTTCTAAGACCTCATCTAACTTCTCAGCTGCTCTAATTTGAAGTTTTACTACCTTTTAATGGAAATATCTTTGAAGTTTCTTGTAAGTATTATTGTAAAAATAATAACAATTATGATGGCCCAAATGTAAGAACCATTTTTACAAATTTTTTTTCTTGTATTTTTCAAGCATCAAAGCCTCTGAATTACTCTTTCTTCCATTAAGGGAGAGAAACACTTGTGGAAAGGCTTGGTATTTCTCCACTCGCCCGCTTACTGTAAACTCTGGCATATTTTCATTTGACAGGTTATTTTTAACCTTTTCTTTGTTTTCTTGTTCCTCACTATAGATGAAGATCTAATAAAGCATGGCTGGCCTGAAGATATTTGGTAAGTAATAACTTTGGTTCTGCTTTCTATGTCTTATTTACTTTCTTATATTTGGCCAACCATCTGATTTTTATGATGAAACCTAGAACTCTTGCTTTGCATTTTGTTCATGAATGGTCAGTGGTAAGTAGCTGCCTGCCAGCCCCCTTCGTTTATAATTGCCGTGTAAACTGGGGATGACCATAGAGGCTTCTGGAACCAAGACATTCTTTAACCTCATGTGTGGTCTTCTCATAGTGGACTAGTGAGACCACCTCACTCAAACACTCAGACCATTCTTCTTGGAAGGACGAAGGATGGATGAGGGCTTCACAGGTAGCAGTGAGGAAAATAGAAGCTTCTGTGTAGATGGAATAGATAGAGCATCTGACCAGGTACAGCTTTAAAGAAAACATAGGCTGGGTTCCCTTTGTCTTCTCATCTCCCTCATGACGTTAGCCCTGTCTTGATCCAGCCTCTACTCCCTCTTTCTAAAATATTTTCTGGAAATTTAAAGAATAATAATTATACTTTCTTTGCCTCCTTCCAAGATAATTTATTTTTGCTGTTCACAAAACCCAGCCCAAAAAACGATGACCAGTGAACAAAAAACTCCTTCATTTTAGTTGAATTCTTTTTCTTTTCCAACTGCCTTAGAATGCCATATGGGCATCTCTACCACTCAGACCTCAAACCTTTTAGGAGGACATGGGCTCCCATGACTTTCATGTAACACTCTCGGGCTCAGTTTGCTTTCCTTTTCTGTCTTCAGCATCTACTCTTGTGATGTGTCTCTCCTGGAGCCTAATTCTATATAGAGAGGGGGTGTGGTCTCCACAGCTCCAAACACCACCCCCCCCCCCCCCCGCCCGGCCAAATGCTATCCCTAAAGATAAGCACACAGATCCTCTTGGCTTTAACAATAATAATGATGAACACTTACTGAATACCTAGCTATATGCCAAGTACTGGTAGGTGTTTACTTTATTAATACATCTAATTTCACAGTAGCCCTGTAAAAGAGTTACTGGTATTAAGCCCATTTTCAGATGAGGAAGCTAAGGCTAAGGGAAACTGAACAGATGTGCTCTGGTTGTTGCTGGCCCCCCAGCCGGCTCTAGTTTTGAATTGCCAATTTCTTTCTTCCCTTCGGCTGCTGCTCTTTGGCTAAGGGTGCCTTCCTTCGTCCCTCAGGCCATTGCTGCAGCTCTCTCTGGACCTCTTTTCTCCAAGTGTGGGCCTGGATCCGTCACTCAATTCCCTAGAGACACAGAGGTTAGGCACTTTTTAGAAGAGCTGCTTGATTTTCAGTAAAGTGGACAGCATTGAACATTTAATAGGAAAACTGTTGCACAGAGACTAAGTTAAGCTCCCCCCAGATGTGGCCATCCTCAGACCGCCCCCCCCCCAGGGCCAGCTGCAGACACCCACCAAGGGGCGTCTCCTCTCTTGCTCCAGCCTGCCCCATTATGGAGGGGCTAATTCATGATGCAGAGGAAATGCTTTCCTGTTTGTCCTCGCTAAAGGAACCAAGAGGCACTATAAACCTGAGGAATTTTAAAGTCTTTTTTTTTTTTTTTTGTTAATTTCCTCCCTGTTCCAGCACAGTGGCCTGTCTTCTGAACTCAAATATCAGGTGTCATCAAGGTAGACACTGCTTCGTACCCCCTTACCTCAGGTGCGGGGTTTGCAATGCCCAGGGCTTCTAGATTGAGTGCTGCTTACATTCCTGGAACTTTAGACTATAAGTGTCATGACGACAACGATTACTTTGTTTACTACCACGTCCCATTACCTACCATAGGACCTGGCCCATGGTACACATTCAGTAAAAATTAACTAACTCTCTGCCTCTCTAGCAGTGATCTCTACTGGACATTTCTTCATAATAACTGCATTCTGGTATATCCATTTTGGGCACCTGTCACCGAGCTGGATTATTTCAGTTGTCCTTATAGCCCAAAGATCTCCAGATCCTGTCAAGGGATATTAGAATGGCCACACCTGTTATATAGTTATCTGCTGTGAATTTTTAAACATGTCAGGTTTGAGGCATAAATACCTGCATAGTAAAGGTTACATATTCAGATGCATCACGAAAGTCAATTTACTTTTTTTTTTTTTAATTAAATAAGTGGAAGAGAAATTTCTAATTTACAACATACACCCTCTGTGTTCTGAGTTGGGTTTTTTATTTCATTATGGTTGATTATCTCCTGGAATGCTATTTAACCAAATTGGTGTCTACAGATACCTTGATACCCATCTTGACATCCTTGAGACTAATGACTGTTGTTGGAAGTGATTGACTTTCACTTTTAGAAGCTATTTGAGGCCTAATGTGAGGTAGAATAGTCAGCCCTAAATTTCAAGACTCTTCTGTCAGTCCTGGAAACATTCCTGGGCATGCTAGGAATGATTCAGTTGATTGACATTCCGGGGCAGTTTTTCAGCGTGGTTCGCTCTGAGATAAATTTTGGAACTTTACCTGTGTGAACATCAGCATCTGAATTTATACCAGAAAACCTTCTGAGGCACCTTTAAGCAAAGGATTTTCCCGGGACTAAATGAGAATGGAACTGAATTTATCTTTAAACAAAAGAAAATAGAAATAGTGTGTGTTTACTGCCTCCAAACTCCCTAATGAACAGTATTTCCAGGGACCCCACTTTCAGGAGTTAAATGACTCAGCTTCTGAGGGCCTACATCTCTGCATCCCCCAGTCATTGATGCTCATTTATTGAGCTTTCTAGTCTCTGCATTCAGTAAAGAAAACAGTGATGAAGTAGAGAGAGAGGAAGATAACAAGGACAAGAAGGAACTAGGGAACTACTGGGCATGATTTAAACTTTTTGGAGTAAACATTTTAGAAGGTTTGGAAAGGTTTTTTTAAGGAAACTTGCTCACGATAGTTTGTTTACAGAGCTGGCTTTTTTGTTTGTTTTTACAGTTCAACCAAAGCCCCATACTTCCCCACATTCCTCGTGCCCTTATAGAAGTATACCTACCAGCCTGGAGTTGGTCTGTATATCAGCAGTGATATATTCCCTGTGTGTTTTGGGATTTCAACTACTTATGTATTGCTCCATTCGATGTATATTGAATTATTTGTGTGTTTCTTTTGACGAAATTCCACATCAGAGACCTTATCTTAAGGAAAATCAGAATACAATCGAGCTACTGTGGGTATGTAGGAAAGAGTTGTTTTAAATGGAGAACTGGCTTAAAACAAGTTGGAATGGGAGAAGTTACTTCTCAGCTGAACTTGCTTCCTAATGGGTTCTAATCCTAAGATCCTGAAAAAGGGTAATGAGCTATGTAATTTCAGATTTGCAAAAACACATTTTTTTCAGTGGAAAAGGCCGAGCTGAAGACACTAATCAGTCTCTTATATGGGAATGCAAATGAGTAAATGAACCAGTTGGGGAAAAATAAATCAATGTCCACTTCTGTCTAGCAGTAAAGGTTAATAGAACCTAGAGTCATGATAGACTGCCAAAAAAGTGTAATATTTTTCTGTATCCAAAGTGACTAACAAGATGCTTAACTTGTTGAAGAGGGAACACTGTAATCTTAACGTTTATGTAGAACCATGCTGTCTGCGTCTTGTACTAGGTGTGAGTGTGTGACCATTTTCACCTCTAAAAGATACATTATTGCTAAGAAAATGTCTAGAGAAATATATACCTCCTTAGGTTTTTACTGAAAACTCTTTAGCCTGGAAAGTTAGGAACTAAGGAAGAGACGATTAAAGTTAACAGAATCCCAAAGTGACCATCATGTGTTACTGTTGTTTGGTGCTAGAGTCCTGGGGGTGTCTCTGGAAGTAGAAAAGAGAGAAAGTTAACTTTATTTGGTGAATTATAAATATGAAAAACTTAGTATCTCAAAACGTTAAGACTAGGTGAGAAAGGAATTAAGTTTCAAAAGATTTCATTAAATTGGCAGATGATAGAGCCTTAATAAAAGGTAAATTTGGGACATTGGGATGGGAGGGCGTTCCGGATGTTTTTAGGACAATATCATAAAGGGCAGCCCCCATGCTTTCCCAGAAGCCCTGTATTAGGGCCATTGTCAGATGTGAGGCAGGATGAATTGTTGGTCTGACCCATTTTATGACTCTTCCAACTCTGTGCTTCTCTTTAGGTTGTTTTGCCATTGCTTGAAAACTTAGGATGTCCCAAACCAAACCCCTCATCTTTTTTTTCCAAACTGGTGTCTTCTCCAGCTGTAAAGTATTTCTCTCCGTGGTCCTGCCAGTCTCCCAGGCTTGCAACACTGCAGTCTTGATGACTTCTTCCGTTCCTTTCTCTCCTTACCTGAAATTCCTTTCTCTGTGTTTCCTCTAAGTCCCGTGCTTCAGTCAGGGACCTTCTAAACCTCAGTCCATCAATGAAGCCTTTGGTCACGGATAGCTCTTTCTCACTGGAAAAATCACCCTTTCCGGGGCATTTCCATTTATCGTCTCTAGTATTCATCTTGGCACTTAGTCTCACACAGCTGCAGAACCTTCCATGTTTATCTTACCTCTCCCAGTCAGTAGTGCCTTTGGAAGCAGTGACTGTGTTTTATACTCCCTATGGTGCTTGGCCTGTGGTGAGCACTGAGTTAATACTTTCTGGATTGGAATGCTTTAAAGGCAAGGGGTCTGAGGAGGTGGTTGTCTTGTACCTCTTGCTAAAAGTGGTTTTCATTCTTTGTAGGTTTCATGTGGACAAACTCTCTTCGGCTCATGTATACCTTCGATTACATAAGGTAACTGGATTTAAACATGGACTCATGACTTTTTCTCTAGCTATGAGCATCCTATCTTCTCCTCTGTCCTTTTTTTGCAGTTTAAATTGCTTCAAGTAATAAATATGTACAAAAGTTGGAAAATCAGCAAATGAAGAGATGTCTTACCCCTGATCTGGAAAATCACTAAGGGAAAGTCTGGTGATTTTTGGATACTTGGAAGGGGGCATAGTCCATATACCCCAGCTAGAACCACTGTCCCCACTGTGTAATTATCCTACCAGTTCAGCTGTGTGGTTTGTCACCTCTGCTCTCTCTCCCTTTCATTTCAGTGGACAATTCCGGACCTTCTGTCTTTTCCCGTGGAGATCATGTGTGGTTCCTTCTCACACTCCCTTACTGAGGGTGGATATTCCCAGTTATCAGGGGCTTCTTTGGGACATTTAAAACAGCATTAGAATAGTAAGGGGAAAAGATGCAACGTTTCCTAGTAACATAAAAGCACTGGTTTTCTTTTCTTTTCTTTTTTTTTTTTTTAGGTAGTGGAGGTGTTCTCTGGAGCAGAAGACTTTACTTATTTTTTATTTGTTTTAAAGATTTTATTTATTTATTTGTCAGAGAGATAGAGAGAGAGAGAGAACATAAGCAGGGGGAGTGGCAGGCAGGCAGAGGGAGAAGCAGGCTCCCCACTGAGCAAGGAGCCCAATGTGGGACTCGATCCGAGGACCCTGGGATCATGACCTGAGCCGAAGGCGGACGCCCAACTGACTGAGCCACCCAGGCATCCCAAAAGCACTGGTTTTCTAATGCCTTTACTTTCATATATTTTATTTATTTATTTATTTATTTTTTAAAGATTTTATTTATTTATTTGACAGAGAGAGATAGCGAGAGAGGGAACACAAGCAGGGGGAGTGGGAGAGGGAGAAGCAGGCTCCCTGCCGAGCAGGGAGCCCAATGCGGGGCTCGATCCCAGGACCCTGGGACCATGACCTGCGCCTAAGGCAGACGCTTGACAACTGAGCCACCCAGGCGCGCCTCATATATTTTATACAGTTGAATCATAGGGTATATATACTTGCTATATGTATTACTTTTTTTTTTTTTTTAATGTCTTACTTTGGAATGATTTTAGATTTAGAGAGAAGTTGCAGAGATAGTACAGAGTTCCCATATACCTCGTGCCTAGTTCTCCCTCCATTGTGAACATTATATATTATTATGGCAGATTTGTTAGAACCAAGAAACCAACATTGGTACATTACCATTAACTAAACTCTGGACTCTATTTTGATTTCACCAGTTTTTCCATTAATGTCCTCCTCCAGCCCAGTGTCCCACATTATGTTTAATTGTCATGTATGCCTAGGCTCTGGTCTGTGGCAGTTTCACACTGTGAAAGTGTGAGACTCTCCCTATTTCTCATGACCATGACAATTTGAGAAGTATGGGTCAGGTTCTTGACAGAATATTACTCAATTTGAGTTTATCTGATGTTTTTCTCATGACTGATATTCTGGGTTTTGGAGGAAGAATAGCACAAAGGTGGAGTGCCCTCCTCATCACATCATGTCAAGGGTACCTGCATTAATAGAACTTAGCACTGATGTTGCTAACCTTCATCTCCTGGTCAGCCCAGTGTTTGCCAGGTTTGTCCACTAGAGTCTTGTTTTTCTCCCCCCTTCCATACTCTGTTATTTGGAGACAAGTTACCAAGTCCAGCCCATACTCAAGGGGATGGGGATGGAATTAAGCTCTACTTCTTGCAGTGGGGGGAGTATTTACATATATAAGGAAGATTCATCTCTTCTCCCCTATATATTTAATACAGTAGTTTATTTGTATCACTATGGACTCATATGTTTATTTTATACTCGGGGTTATAATCCAATTCTGTGTTATTTGGTAGCTGAAATTGTCCCAGCTTTAGTTGGAGCTCTTTCAGCTTGGCTCTTGTGTTCCTTTGATATGCTCCCATCCTTTGGTTTTTGAGCACTTCCTTGCTCTCTGGCTCTCTAAGATGCTATGGGCTCATCTTGTATTTTCCCTGCCCCAGTCCTTGAATCGGCCCTTTCTCCAAGCAACCCTGATTCCTTTTACTGGAGAGTGGTATTTAGAAGCCAAGATCTGGACGTGGTGTGCTCACTGCTCCTGGAGTGTCATTGCTTCTAGGCCCTGTCAGAGGGCTAGGAACTACATGTCTGTATACATGAGCTACGGAGCTAGGAACTACATGTAGGTATATTAACGCATGTTAGTAATTCCTGTGAATCTTTGTTTCTGTGTCTCCATTTGTATCTATGTTAAGCAAAACATGAGCTCATACTGATGTCTTTGACACATCTGTTATTACAGAGGCCATTCTAGCCTTTTCTCCTTGCTTCTCTGTTATTTCCTTCTCAGCGTGAGAAGCCTGGTTCCCACCATCCACCATCTATTTGCTTATTTGATTGCACTATTTGTGTAAGTGGTTTCAGATTTGTTAAGCTGTCTCCCCATTCAAAACAACTTTATCAACTAAAGTACAGTGTTTATGTGCAATTATTTTTGTCTTTTTGCCTTTAGTTTCCAGTCAAAATGTTGTTTTCCAGAGTTATTTGTAAGCTGCTCTATTTTTTACCGCACGCCTTTGAGAGATGTCATGCCATGCACTTAGATTTTTTTTTGTTTACGTTCCATCCTGTTGTATTATTACAGTTGTTAATTCCCCTAGTTGATTGTATGACTCTTTAAAGTGACAGTGTGATAAACTTTCATCTTACCATATTATTTTCATATTTATTGTTTTGACTGGCCGCTTTGAGTTGGTAGATAATATGCCACAATTAATACGAAACCTCCCTTTCAGAATATAAGTTGTTTACAGTTTTCAACATTATGAATCCTCAACAAGAAATTTTCTTTATGAACCATATTCTGTTTTCCTTTCGAAGTAAGTTTTTTACAATAATTCTCAGAAATGGAGTCACTGAGCCAAAAGATAGAAACATTTGGTAAATCTTTCAGAGGCCGATTGCTCTCTAAAAATAATTGCACTAGTTTAAAATGCTACCTGATACATACAGGTTTTCCAAACCCTTCCTGGGATTTTACAACTTAAAAAAATAGCAACCTTTTGACAATTTTTAAATAAGTATAAGATGCTATTTCATTATGATTATAATATTCACTTCTTAATCTGTTAGCAAGGTTATACACTGTGCCCCATCTTTATTTATACTCTTTATGTTTTTGAGAACTGTACTGTAAAGCACATTGTGAGCTATGTCAAAAAGAGGAAGATTGTGAACTCTGCTGGAACAAAAGTCTGGATTCTCCTTGGCAACGTCTTGCCATTTTGGAACTATTTTAAGTTTAGAGAAAATAGAGTATGGTGTTACCAAGTTTCCTTTTGGTTCAGATTAAGTTTTTCTTTTCCTTTAGACTCTGCTGTGTCAGAAAATGGAAATAATAGTGGTAGTCCCAAGTTCACTTACTACCAGTTACTCCTTGTTTGAAAAGAAGTTTAATTTCATTTTCTTTTGGAAGCAACATCATGTGCTCAATAAAAATATGTGCTCTTTGGGGATCGTTTATCTGGTTGATCTGCAGTAAGTGGCGTAGCCTTTTGTACTTAGTAGGTACCAAGTGAGTGTTGGAGATGGAGTAAAACCAGGCGGTTGGGGACCCAGACTGCTGGAGGGGAGCCCTAGCTGTCCTGCGTACTAGCTGTGGGACTTATTGAACAAGTCACCTAGCTGTGCCCGTTTCCTCATCTGTAAGAGGGAGCTAACAGTACCTATCTTCTTGGGCCATTGTGACGATTAAATGAGCCAGCATGACTGAAGCAGTTAGAATAATGCCTGGCACATGTTAAGCATCGTATGTGTTAACTTTTTGGTTGTTGAATTCAGTTGAATTCAACCCAGATCTTGAAGATCAGAGATATTCAGCAGTGTTCTTTCCTAGGCTTCTTTGGTTTTTGAAAACCCGTAGAAAACCCTCAGCTGTCCAGAGGTCTCTTACCTCATTGACAGAGATGGCACAAAGCCCACAGTCAAAATTCTGACATTTATGTATTGAGAGCACCTCAGACTCTCCAGTCAGAGTTCACTCTGACTTTATGCATAATGCTAAGCTGAAGGATTGGTTTTTGTTTTGTTTTTTTTTTAAGTCTGCTCGTATTATATTAGAAGTAGCCAACAGGAAGATGAGCTTGCTTCAGGAATAGTGACAGACACAGGTAGCAAGAAGGAATATGAGGATGTAGGCTGACATCCAGGACCAAGAAACTACATTTCCACAAGAATTCCAAAGGCACTGTACTCTGGGGTCAGTTGCTACAACCCTTGGGCCTGGGTTCATCTCTCAGCTCTGTCACTTACTAGATTTAGGGGACCCTAGCCCAGTTACTTAACCCTGCTAAGCTTCATTTTCATTGTTGCTAAAGTGAAGATAATACTATCTTTTTCATATGGCTGTTTACTTAGTGCCTGGCACATGGTGGGTACTTCAAAAGTGGTAGCTGTCTTGTTTTTTAATTATGTTGATTTATTTAGAATAGGGTCAGTCTGCTTCTGTGTATTTTTGACGCCCCCGAAGGCATCACTATCACCATATTATGGCCTAGTGTAATGGTTGATACTCTTAGTAATGACATTGTGTTATCAAGATGCTAAATTCAGAATCCTTTCTTTAAGTGGTCAGGGAATTGCACATTATGAGCTATGTTATTAAAGTAGTGGCAAACTTAAATCACGTATTTTTTTGGGTCAACGTTATGTGTTTGAGAGATCCTCATTTTAAAACATTTTAAAAACAAACAAACAAAATTCTGAAACGTAATGGAATAAACTTAATTTATCTCCTGGGCGCCTGGGTGGCTCAGTTGGTTAAGCGACTGCCTTCGGCTCAGGTCATGATCCTGGAGTCCCAGGACCGAGTCCCGCATCGGGCTCCCTGCTTGGCGGGGAGTCTGCTTCTCCCTCTGACCCTCCCCCCTCTCATGTGCTCTCTCTCTCGTTCTCTCTGTCAAATAAATAAATAAAATCTTTAAAAAAAAACAAAAAAAACAAAAAAACTTAATTTATCTCCAGTTATTTAGGTAGGTGGCACATTTCATTCCCATACAGAAGTGCTGCTTTAATCCCATGCCTAGCTGGAGCCAGTACTGAGGTGATTCCCACTTGTTCGGCCTTTGAAATATTTTTGTTCTTTTGGAATGGCTTTGCTTTTTCAGCTTTGACTTTGTTACAGTATCTGTACAGAAAATGAGTCAATATTATTTTTCCCTTAGGGTGGGTGGTTATATCGAACACACCAAGAGCGGGGTTCCTAATTAAGGCTGATGGATGACCTACCTCAAACGATGTTTGAGACTCAAGACCATAAGATATCTCTTTGAAAGGAAGGTCATAGGGACCTCAGCAAAGAAGACTTCCAATTATCAGAAATAGGCACCATTTCCCCACAAGGTTTCCAGAAGTAAGAATGAAGAGAAGAAAATGACAAGAAAGAGGAGAAAGTTCCTGAGACATAATTACAGTTAGTATTTTAGTGGTTTTCTTTTATACCCTTTTCACCCACTTATTAAGTATTAATATTTTCCATATTACTTGTACTGCCGTGTCTCAAACATTCCCATAATAGACTTCATTTTTCAGTGTTCTGAAATACAGTGAAGAGCCTCTGCTTTTAATAAAGTTGTGCCTAGTAAGGCAGTAAAGCCCTATAAGTGCTCCAGTATTGATCAGTGACAAGGTAGTGGACCATCTGGTTTATTTTTATGTTCCAGGGGGAGAAGATAGAAGACATACCAAAGGAAGTCCTGATGGACTGTGCCCATCTTGTGAAGGCCAATAGCATTCAAGGTCAGTTCTCTTAGAGGTGTTTTCAGAATTAACACCAGTATCTGTATCTGAAATTGAATACATTTTAGAGAACATGTCAGTGACTTGGGCTTGAGTCAAACGAATAATATGTAATATACCTTTCCCCTGTTGTTTTGTTCTGCTACCTGTCCGAGAACTGAAAGCTAATCTCTCCACCCCTCTCATGTTCGTGGTCCTTTCTCAGCTCTTTCTACTGTGTTCCCCTTACCTTGACTAGAAGCTTGTCTAAACCTGCCTACCCTTGATGTTATTCGTAGAAAGGCTTTTGGGGGTGCCTGGGTGGCTTAGTCAAACTGATTCTTGCTTTCAGCTCAGGTCCTGATTTCATGGCTCATGAGATCGAGCCCCTCGTGGGGCTCCACACCCAGCGGGAGTCTGCTTGGATATTCTCTCCCTCTGCCCTTCCCCCAACACGTGTGCACGCGCTCTCTTTCTCAAATAAATCTTCAAAAAAAGGTGGGGGGATTTTGGAAATGAGGTTAGGTTAATAGCTAAGCAAGAGATGTATGTCATGGCTTTATTTTTAATGCTGTGTGATGTCTTTCTTTCCATCATTTGTTCTTAAATTCTAGAACTCAAGTCTCTATATCCCTGTTTCTTACTTTTTTTTTCTCTCCTTCTCCTCTTTCATACTTTATTCTCCCTGTATATTGTGAAGGTATCGAGTCTGTTGATCTTCTTATCTCCCAAAGAATCTCATTTAGTTGGTCTGGGGTGATCCATGAGTTTCTGTATTTTTCCAGTGTTCTCCGGGAGATTGTAATATGTACAGAGGGTTGGTTGAGAACAATTGTCCTGTTTTAGGGGAGGCCTGTAATTCTGGGCTTGGTGCTTGTTTAGTTCTGTCAGTAGTAGATTTTTTTTTTTTTTTTTTTAAGAATTTTATTTATTTGACAGAGACAGAGCAGGAGAGCACAAGCAGGGGGAGCAGCAGAGGGAGAGGGAGAAGCAGGCTTCCCACTGAGATAGGAGCCCAATGTGGGGCTCGATCCCATGACCCTGGGATCACGACCTGAGCCGAAGGCAGTCGTTTAAACAACTGAGCCACCCAGGCACCCCTGTCAGTAGTAGATTTAATTGGTCAGTAGTCAGTACAGGTCAAGAAGGACAATTTTGGGGGAGGAAGTGGGAGTTAAAAAGGGGAGCCAGGAGATGGTGTTCTGCTAAGAATGGTTGAGCTAGTAGGTTGGATTTTGGGGTGTAGGACACAGAGCTAGAGTGGTGGTAAGTTTGGTTTGATGTGAGGTTGAGAGATTATCCAGAGGGTTGGAAAGAAATACGGTTTGGATAGAGGGCAGACACTTAGCTGATAGTAGGTACCAGGGTTGGAGATTACAGGATAAGAGTTGGCCAGTGTACCCCTTCCTCATCACTTAGACTAAGTTGGACAGCTTTACTGAGTCAGATACCTAGCCAAAGAAAGTAGAAGTCTGGTCGTGTAGAGTCACTGGTTTTCAACACCGTAAATCATTAAATTGCAGTTAGTCTTTTAGGACATTCCATTTTTATGAGCAGAACAGAGTTTTTAAGATTTCCAGTCACGAGCTTCAGTTATTAAAGTAAAAATAATAAAATTAAAACAATCATTATCCTCTTGTGTGTTGCAACCTCTTTCACATGATCTTGTTCCCTTTCCATGCCCCTGGCTAGCAGATGTGACTTTATTAAAGGGTCTTTGGACTCTTTATTCTGGGCCTGGCCTCTTTATTCTTAATCCCTTTATAGTTTACTAGTTCTAGAGAAAACAGAAAAGGCAGAAGAGTCATGACACTGCCCTCCTCTGCTCTCCACTTCAGCCTTCCACAGTGAGAGCTCACTTAGCAGAATAAGGAGCTAAGCCCAGGAGCCTCACTCATGAGTTGACAGCAGAGGATGCTGAGGATGCTCCATTTGCGTTGCTGTGCAGTTAAAATATTTCCCCCCCTGCTAGACTGCCTTTGGCTCTCAGAACCAAGGAAATTGGGTTAAACTTGTTTGTCATCGTAGAATCTGGTCAGTCAGTTTATTCATAGAATCTTTTGCCAGAGTAAACTTTCTAAAGTCTTAGATACTTTCTATGACACGCCTCACCTTAGTTATACGTATAAGTCCAGACTTCTTAAGCTAGAAGCTAAGCATCTCTGCTCTGACTACAGACTTTTTTCCCTTCACATATTTCACCCTCCAGCCAAAGCACGTATTGGCTGTTTTCCTACCATATATCTCTGCTTATGTTGTCTCCTCTGTCCTCAGTTTTGTCTGCCTTTCAGTCGTCCCGTGTCTAGATGCAAGCTAAGGTTCAGGGTCCACCCAGTAGTTGTAGTAATGGTAGTAATAGCTAACTTTGAACATTAATTACATGCCTGGCATTACATGCTAAAACTTCACCGATTATTTCACTTATCAACCCTCCTGAGATATGTGTTACTATTTTCATTCTAGAGATGAGTGAGCTGAGCTTAAGGGAGTTAAGGAACCTGCCCAAGGTCTCAGAGCTCTGAAGTGTGCTGGTGGGTGCATTTGAAGTCAGTCTGACCTGAAAGTCTTCTGTCTTAACCACTAAACTGTATTAACCTCTCTGATGGAGCCTTTCCCTTCTTCCAGCGTGGGTGACCACTGCCCTCTCAGAGCAGCATTAGGACTTTACCTGTACCTTTCCAATAGCATTTGATGCGTTCTGCTTTTCTTTCTTTCTTTTTTTTTTCCTAAAGATTATATTTATTTATTTGAGAGAGAGCGAGAGCTGGGGGGAGGGGGCGGGGAGGGCAGAGAGAAAGAAGCAGACTCCCTGCTGAGCAAGAAGTCTGATGCGAGGCTCCATCCCAGGACCCTGAGATCATGACCTGAGCCGAAGGCAGACGCTTAACCGACTGAGCCACCCGGGCGTTCTGAAGAAGTCTGCTTTTCACTGAGGTTATTTATGTACTTATCTGCTTTCCTTTAGTCTTGGAAGACAAGACCCATTATCTGATCCATGTTTGGATCTCCTGTAGCACCACACATGGAGATTTTTTTTCAATCTTAATTTTGAAAAAAAAAATTTCAAACCTACAGACACGTTGCTAGAAAAATACAACTCCTGTATGCCCTTCACTTAGATTCAATAATTTTTCCATATGTATTTGCTTTCTCTCTATAATGTTCTAATTATTCCTTTTTTTAGCTGAATCATTCGAAGGAAAATTATAGACCTCATAACTCTTTAGCATGTCCTAAGAACAAGGACACTGTCTAAGTAACTGCATTACTGTGACCAGATTCAGGAAGTTTAACATGGCTAGAATACTGTCATTTGATATATAGTCCATATGTAAGTTTTTCCAGTTGTCCCACTACTATCCCTTTATAGCATTTCTTTTTCTCTCTCTTTTTTTTAAAGATTTTATTTATTTGAGAGAGAGAGAATGCACAAGCAGGGGGAGCTACAGGCAGAGGGAGAAGCAGGCTCCCTGCAGAGCATGGAGAGCCCGATGTGGGATTTGATCCCAGGACTCTGGGATCATGACCTGAGCTGAGGGCAGAAGCTTAACTGCCTGAGCCACCCAGGCGCCCTAGCATTTCTTTTTCTGATCCAAGATCATATGTTATAGTTACTCATCATGTCTCTGATCTCTTTTAATCTAAAGATACTTCTTTGTCTTTCAAGACATTGACACTTTGAATGGAGACCAGTTGTAGGATATCCTGTGATTTGGGTTGGTCTGATGCTTCCACTTGAGTAGGATCACATGCATTTTCAGTCAGGGATAACATATAAGTGAAGTCTTGTGTGTTACAATCAGGAGTCACATGGTGCCATTTTGCTCCATTTTTGATGATGTTAATTTTGATCACTTAAGTAAGCAGTTATTCACCAGTTTTCTCCAATGTATGTGGTGATTTAATAAACTATATAATATACTGAAAAGGGCCTTAAAGAGTGTTGGGCCAGTGATTAAACTGGGATTCTTCAAGCTGCCTGAGAAGCGGTCCGGGGCAGCGGGGAAATATGAGGTGGAGGTAGTAGGAGGAATGAGTGGGGTATGGGATACCCGGCACCCCTTTCATCTAGAGCATCTCTACTTTTATTACTTTGATATGTTTTCTTTGGTAAAAGAGGTACTACCACTGTGAAAACAAACAAACAAACAAAAAATTCTACTAATCCTATCTCTTCCTGATTCAAATGAGATTCCGGGAGCCCTGGGCACGTTCCCTAAGTGACACAGCTGGTTTGTGTTGGTTCCAGGGTCTCGTGCTGGTCTCTTGAATCCCAGACCATGGCTTTTTGCTTTATCTCGATGTTTAGCCTTTACTGAATCAACGACTCCATTGGGAATCTGAGGGAAACCTGTTTGGTCCATTTCTCTTTTTAAAAAATGCGTATCATAAATTTTGTTTTCAGTATTTGGGAGTCTCAGAAGTCCCTGAAGCTAATCCACAGACCCCTGCTTTCCTTCATAACACTATTGCTTGAATTGTGTTGGTCACCTTTACCATTTGCCTTTCGTGGGTGGGTTAAAAAAAAAAAAGTATTTGGTGGTTTGAATCCCTCAGTGGCTGTTTGCACTCAGCCTTTCCGTTTGTTGGATTTTGGTAATTGGCCAGTGGGTGAGGGAACTCAGTATGCTCTGGCCCTCATGTTGAAGACAGTCTCTCTTGGCAGGCTGCAAGATGAACAACGTTAATGTGGTATATACACCGTGGTCTAACCTGAAGAAAACAGCCGACATGGATGTGGGACAGATAGGCTTTCACAGGCAGAAGGATGTAAGTGTTGTGCGCTGCGGTGGGGAGGTGCCATGGAGCCCCGGGCTTTTCCGTCTCCTGCCTTCATTGTTGAAGGCTCAGCATGACGTATGCCTTCTAAATCCCTTTTCAGCTGGGTTGTTTGGCCCCTAGAAAGCGTTGCCTCTGTTCTGGGGGGAAAACCTACAATAAAGATTCAGTATTGTTCCTTCCCATCTCCCTCAAAGGTGAAAATTGTGACCGTGGAGAAGAAAGTGAATGAGATCCTGAACCGATTAGAAAAGACCAAAATGGAGCGGTTCCCAGACCTCGCGGCAGAGAAGGAATGCAGAGACCGAGAAGAGAGGAATGAGAAAAAAGCCCAAATTCAGGAAATGAAAAGGAGAGAGAAGGAAGAGATGAAGAAGAAGCGGGAAATGGACGAACTTAGGTATGTCAGAGCTGTGGTGTTGATGTTGACCTTGGAGATTCCTCGCTGCTGATTTTCATCAGGGACCAACCCGTAGGAAGGATATACTGGTGGAGGGCAGGACAGAGAACAGACTTGGGGCCTGAGACGGTCTAGGAAAAGGCAGTTATGCTGAGGCGTTGGTCAAATGACGCCCTTTTATAGGGACGGGATATGAGTGTGTGTGAAATAAAAGAGCTAATTTTATTCTTAGATAAACCGTCATCTTTAGAGTTCGGTTTGTAAACATCTTCAGGAAAAGACAAGATGTAATATTAAGGATTTAACATTGACTCGCTGTGGTACTTGAATAAAGTGGTCTTAGCTCTGAAGGCCTATGCTAGTAATTCTTTTTTTTTTTTTTTTAAGATTTTATTTGTTTATTTGAGAGCGAGAGCACGAGCAGGGGTGGGGGGTGTAGGGGGAGTTGAGAGGCAGAGGGGAGAGGGAGAAGCAGACCCCCAGCTGAGCAGGGAACCTGATGTAGGGCTCAATCACTGGACCCTGGGATCTATGACCTGTGCCGAAGGCAAACACTTAACCCAGGTGCCCCAATGCTAGTAATTCTTAAAATTTGTTGTTTAAAAGAAAAAATTTTTTTCGTAAGTTAGAAGTGATTAATGTAATGAGGCCTACCCCAAAGCACTACACTTTAAAATGATAAATAGTAGGGGGTGCCTAGCTGGCTCAGTCAGTAGAGCATGTGACTCGATCTTGGGGTTGTGAGTTCAATCCCCATGTTGGGTGTGGAGCCTACTTAATAAAATAAGATATAAAATCTTTAAAAAATAAACAAATAAAAATAAGTAAAATGATGAGTAGTAGTTAAAACACAACTTGAGTCCTGAATTTCTAGTGTATGAGAATCCAGACTGAGTTTTCTGTGGCTCCTGTAACAAATTATCACAGATTTAGTGGCTTTCAAACAACATAGATTTCTTACCTTACAGTTCCATCCATTCATATGTTAGAAGTCCAGCGGATTCTCAGTGGGCTAATATCAAGGTGTCAGCTGGGCTGTGTTCCTTTCTGGAGCTCTAGGGGAGAATCCGTTTCCTTTTCCAGCTCCTAGAGGCCACCCACATTCCTTGGCTTGTGGCCCCTTCCTCCATCTTCAGAGCTGGCCACATGGCATCTCTGAGACCCTCCCTCCAGAGTCGCAGCCCCATCTCTGACCACAGCCTTTTGTACTGTTGAGGACCAGTGCAGTGACATTGGGCCCACCCAGACAATCCATAACCTCTCCATCTAAGATCCTTAACCCAACCACATCTGCAAAGCCCCTTGTGCCAGATGAGGTGACATATTTGCAGGTTCTGGGGATTGGGATGTGGACATCTATGGTTGGGATCATTAGTCTGCCCAGCACACTGAATCTGTAGTAGATGTATAGTTTATATATACCTAAAGAGACTCCTGGGTTTTCTTTGTCAAAGAGGGAATTTAATCCTGCAACTTCTACTTACAGGATTTCTAGATTTTCCCACAGTTCTCCGTAGATATCATTTGTGTTAAGCATACCAAAAAGAAGGGGGGGAAGAAAAGGCATTGCCGTGCCTTTGGGAGTGGCACAGGATCAAAATGAGCTGTCTTGCCATGTCCTGACTTGGTTTCCTTGGAATACACTGGGTGATTAGAAAGGTTGTTGGGTCAGAACGTAGGTATAATGATCAAGTACTGGTATTTCTTAGTTATCCGCATGCACGTGCTCCTTTGGGGGTTCTGCTGAAACGGGATAAGTGGCTGCATTTAAAATATATTCAGATGGAGAGCTCCGGAAGTGTTATCCTGAGTTATAATCTGCTGACACGAAACAAACGAATGCCCAGATTTGGTTTGACCTAGTGTGAGTCTGCTTTGTGTTGTGAGTGAAAGAAAAATTATCAGCTCGATCAGTGCAGTAAAATGTGTGGAATTTTGAGCAATGTAGGATTGAGAGTAGCTTATTCATTTTTGTTTTTCGTGTGGAGTGGGGAAAAGAGTGAAAACATACCTTCTTGTGCCTTCTACAGATCTAACAATTTTGTTCAGAAACATAATATGTTAGGAATATAATATCACTTAATTTACTTAAAAACTTAACAAGAAAGAATAGCTAACGTTTTTGGGCACTTGTCATCTGCCAAACCCTGTACTATATTTAGCTCCATTATTTCATTTGATCCTAACAATAGCCAATATGAGGCAAATACTGTTATTACCTGCATTTTCTAGAAGAGGAAACAGCCTGACAAGCAGTTAAGTAACTTACCCAAAGTCACAGAGCTAGTCTTGTCTGATTCTCAAGCTCACAACACGCTATAGTTACCACTCTTTTCTGCCTCTGTTCAGTCTATTCAGCGTTAAAGTAAAATTTGTTCCATATGAATCAAGTAATTTACAGATACGGGAATTTATCTTAAAATGCATTTCATTTTTGCTTCAAATCAAGCTGTGTACTAGTAAAATTTAGGGGATTTTTTATATTTGATTTTATTAGTTTAAACTAAAACACAATGTGCTTATCTCCCAGATTTTCTTTTATAATATCAACAACACATAAAATATTTAAATAAGTTGAGGGGGGAAAAATTCTCATTGTTATTGAGTGAAATTTTTGCCTCAAAAGCAAATTTATCTGATCAGTCCCATTTTCTAAGCTGTCCCTCGTCACTTGTAATTTTTCCATTTGTTTTCTCAGACACAAATTTTTGTCCTATATCACTCTGGCCCATAAATACCAAAAGGAAAATGTAAGTGGAATAAATGGGAAAATCACTTTTCTAGTTCATGTTTTTCTACACAGTTTTTCCCTGATGCTTTCTTTTTAATAAATGATCATGGCTCTCAGAAAACCAGAAACAGCTGATGCGTTCATTTCTGTGAAACCTGTGCCATGGCAATGATTTGCTTTCCCAAGCTGCTGAAGCTGGGAGGGTGAGAGGCAAGGCTGCAGCGCGGGGAAGCCACGCAGCAACAGACCAGGGACCTGCCGGCTTGCGTGCCGGCTCCTGCAGCTTCTGTGAAGTTCCAGCCACAAGCTCTAAGCTTCTGACCCGTTTTAAAATCTGTTTTTATACCTTGGTAGTGCTCTATACATCACCTTAGTTTCTGTCTTTGACTCTTCCACCCAAGAGATCAAATGCTGGGCCTACAGAATCTTCTCATTCTCAAGTCTTTCACTTGGTTTTCTGACAATGACAATTTCATTAGCTTTCACCAGCAGCTGGTTCTTTTATTTGGACCATCTGGTAGGGGATGTCCACTATTAGTTGCTGCGAATGCCTAAGAAACCGACTTTTGGGTCTGAAGGGGATTCTGCAGAGAAACCAAGAGATATTCTTATCCCGGAAGTTAACCCCAATGCTTCCAGATGATTTCAGCAAAGAAATACTCAACAGCCTCGTATCCGGAGATATCCAACTTCCCTCCAATTCTAAAACCATTATTTAGATTCTTGTCCCCTTTCTCTTCTCAACTTGTTGAACAAGAATGGCATAAGCCTCTCATTTCTAATGTCTACTGGGAGAAGAAATGGATGGAATTGCCATTATACAGCTCCAAGTTCTCCGAGCTCCAGTCAGGATCCTCTGTCGGCCCTCAGCTCAGCGGTGAACAAAGCCCAGCCCACCCTGTGGAAGGCACGACTTCTGCTCCGAGGCGAGGAATGATAGCCCCTGGAGACAGAACTCCGTCTTGCTCTTGCCGATGAGCCTTTACTCCTTGACCTCAGCATGCAGAAACTGTGATGATCTGATAATGTAAATAGGTCTACGTAAAGAACATCCTCTTAGACAGGTTTTAGAAATATTTGGGTTGTTGAGAGGGCAGTATAGTAATACCATCTGTTCACCATTTATTTTCTTCATCTAAACCATTGGGAAAAATTTCCCCTTCCTTAGACTTTGCATATTCTCAGTTACCCATCTTACGCGTTAGCTCCTTAGACACATGCCCTGTGAGCCTAGGAGCGCATGGGGTTTGGAGTGTAGGGAAGAAGCCTCCTCACACGTTCCTTCCTCTCTCTGACTGCTACACTGCAAGCCATACATTAAGATGAGGTAATAGCACAGATTCAACACAGGTTTTTAGAGTAGTCGCTGTCTTAGACGTGATCTTGAGAGTGAGAAGCAGAACAGCTTCTACTCAGTCTACATTTGGTTTGAGAGAGCAGGCATTTGGAGAAATCCTTTAGACAGGTTACCGGTGAGTCTCCCAGTGGACACCATCATTTATTGGCAGGTGCTAGGGAAGAGCATCCCTGGCTCCCTTCAGTGGGTCCTGGCTGCGTTGTTTCATCTCTGTAGTGGAATGCATGGTTGCATCCAAATGAAAGCGCACCTGCTCTGTTTCAGTCTTGTATTCACTTATTTGGGCTTTGTGGTATTATAACAAACATCAACATCAAAATCAAGCTCCACCATGTGGATATTAAAACCAGAAGAAACAATAGAAAAAGGTAGTTAATAGAGGATAAGTGAGTAACAGATCAGAAAAGAAAAAGGTAGGGACTGTGGCTACCTGAGATAGAGATATTTAAAAATTGGGAGTCTGGGAGGTCGAAATTTGAAACCAAGGCTCGGGTGATTGAAGTCAGACAAGTACAAGGCCCAGGTAAAATGGCAAGTCACAGGTGAATGGATCATCAGTTTGGACAAGTAACCTGAGCTGGATTTGGGGACAAAGATGACTTTAGCAAGATGGTTAATGTGTGGGGGGGCGCCTGGGTGGCTCAGTCATTAAGCGTCTGCCTTCGGCTCAGGTCATGATCCCAGGGTCCTGGGATCGAGCCCCGCATCGGGCTCCCTGCTCGGCGGGGAGCCTGCTTCTCCCTCTCCCACTCCCCTGCTTGTGTTCCCTTTCTCGCTGTGTCTCTCTCTGTCAAATAAATAAATAAAATCTTAAAAAAAAAAAAAAAAGATGGTTAATGTGTGGAAAGTTATAGCTGGTAAGGGGCAAAGCAGGAATTCTAACTCAAGTCTGGAGTCCTGAGGTCCGCACCGTACTGCCTGTAAGGCAAGAAAGGAACGGGTTGGCAAGGCCAGAGTCAAGGTCATATATAGGCAAATAAAAGAATAAAAGATTAGGCACATCGGAGAGGGATTTTAAAAGGTTTTGCGTAGTACAGAATTTCAGGTTGTAAGTGAAAAGGAGCCATCATAGGTGTCCTAGGATGTTAGGAAGAAGTAGACCTGTAGGAGGAGTTTAGTGGCAACATGTAGAAAAGGTAAAAGACCAATGATTAAAAAGATGATATAGTCCAATGTAGAAATGACTGCTTTAATTGGACCTTCTTTTGTTTCTCCCTCACACACGAACACTGCCGCCTTCTATAACTAATGCTCTGTATGCCGTAGCTCTCCGTTTTAGTGGCAGACTCCTTCAAAGAGGCACTTACATGCATCTTTGCATCCCTTTATGTGTGATCCGGTGCTTTGCATATGCAGTGAGTAAGATTGGTTAATATATTGCGGATGTATAAATAACAGATTGGCTTCTCTGAGACAGTGATGCTTGAGCTAAGATCAGAACTATGTTTGCTGGTTAAAAGGGGGATGGGTGGCAAGAGGGCTCTAAGCAGAGGGAACTGGGTGTGCAAAGAAAGACTCTGTGTGGGAGGCAGCAAGGCAGAACCCAGGACTAGAAAGGCAGGTCCAAATGTATGGAACCCAGGAGTGAGGGGATGCATGGATCAAAGTGCCCGAGCACACGGGGCCTGTTGGTGTCATGTTTGTCTTTATCCTTCATCAGACTTTTGTGAGATCATCAAAGACTTTTAAGCAGGGGATTGTATGATAAGGTGTGTGCTTGAGAAAGCTCACTTTGCTGACCTGAATGGAAGAGGAACCTGGTGGGGGGTGGCTAGGCCAGTTAGAAAACTATTAGTTGTCCATAAGACAGGTGATGGTAGCTTGGAATATGGGAGTGTTGTGGAGGGGTAGAGAGAAGTGGACCAGGGAGAAGTGATTTTGTAGGTAAAATGACAAGATTTGAAGCTGGATCGAATGGAGGGGACAGGCAGGGCAAAAGAGTGACTGCTAGGTTTCTGGTGTGTGAGGTGAAATGGATGGCGGTGCCGTTCTCTGGGCCCAGGGGATACCGGGAAAGAACCAAACTGGTGTGGGACCATGAGTAGCGAAGGGACATATGAATCTGACAATACCTTGAGGTATCCAAAAAAATGTCAGATAGGCAGATGGATGAATGGGACAGAGCTCAGAGGACAGGCATGGCCTAACAAAGGGTAACTGTGTGTTGCTTTCATCGAAGTGGGCTCTCAGACCCAGTGGTTCTTGAATGTGGCTTGGGGATGCCCGTCTTCATTAGGCGATTTTGAAATGCAGCCAGGATTGAGATTCCCTGCTCTACCCACTTTGTGCTCAGCATGCCTCTCTCTTTCTGCTCTTGCAGCTTCTCCATCTTACCTGTGTATTTCTTAGAGATAACCACTTCCTCCGACAAGCTTCGCCTAATCTCTCTCTCCAAATGTCTCCCAGATGGTTGTCTCAAACTGGGACTGTTCTCCTTCCCTCTCGTTCTCAGTTTTCCGTTTCTATAGTTCGTATTCTCTACTTGGATGCCTCACCATTCCTTCACATGCAACATGCCGCACGCCGAGCACACCTTCCTTGCAGCATTTGCCCATTTCTCTCAACTGTAGCATTATTTTCTTCAAATCACCCAAGATAGAAACCTTGATGTCATCGTTGATTCCTCTCAGATTTATCCCTTCTTACCAGGACAGCTGTTAACAGCCTGGATTCATGCCCTCAGTGGGGGAACATTGCAGCAGACTGGATGGAGCATGATGGCAGGAGTGTGAGCTCAGGAATCTGATGCAGATTCAGAGGCTCGCTTCTCCACTAGTTAGCTGGGAGAGCTTGCACGACTTCCTTAACGTCCCCTGCTCTGCCTCCTTTGTCTTGAGTAGGCATGAGACTCTCCCTTGCCTTATAAAGTGGTTGGGGGATTAGCGGTAATTTATGAAGCATAGAACACAGGTCCTAGCAAATAAAGGATACTTGGTAAATGGTAAATGTAAATACTGTTACTATTAACTCATCTCCTTGCCTTAATTTCCCTTCTCCCTCTCTTCTGTCTGCTACAGATTAAACACTGGTGTTCTATGGTCTCACTTTCCTTTGTCTCTTTGTGTATTTTTAATTGAACTTTTTGCAGACTTATGGCTGAATAGGTCTTATATCCTCTCCTGGTAAGCTCTTTGGGGCTAGGCTTTGTCTTGTTCATCATGTTCTGTTTTCTTCCCATCTCATCCTCCACCCAGGCTTAGCACAGGGCTTCATACCTCACAGATATTTAATAATACTTGTTGAATCTCATATGTCTCTCCTCTGCTCCCATCTTATATTGTGGCTTCTTGCCGATCACGTTGTGTTAGCTCACGCAGTTAGGACAACATAATCGGGCCCCACACATCCAGCCTAATTTCCCGCTCCTTTGCCTTCGGACTCCACTTGAATGGACTTGAGATGTCATTATAGATACCATCTCTTTGCCTTTGCTCCTACCATTCTCTGGATCTGCCTCTGTGCTGGTGCATCTCCTCGTGAGTTCCTGTAGCCTCTGCAGTCCGGGCAGTCCGCCCCCAGCAAGGAGTCCTGTTTGCTCTTGGCCATAGATGGGTTTCCTGATCTGAATAACGCCACCTACCTCACAGTGTGGAAGTGACATGAAATGAGTATGAGCAAGCACTTTCTAAACTGTAAAGTGCTGTGCACATCTTATTTACTGTTCAAAGGTATTTGTTGCAATCTTCTTGAGGGCAGGGATCATATTTTCCTCCAAAAGACCCTGCTGGGTACATGGTAAATGTTCATGAAATACTCGCTGGCTGGATAGCCTTATTTTGTTTATTTTTAGAGAAGGGGGGACTTAAGCAGGCTCCACATCCAATGCGGAGCCTACCGTGGGGCTCGATCTCACCACCCTGAGATCATGACCTGACCCAAAATCAAGAGTTGGACACTTAACCGACTGAGCCAACTAGGCGCCCCTGGATAACCTTATTTTAAATGTGTTTCCTTCTAGGAGCTATTCATCACTAATGAAAGTTGAGAATATGTCTTCAAATCAGGTATGTTCAAGTTATTTGTTTTAATGTTGTACCTTAAAATAATTAAGAGTTTTTAATAATCGAGTGACTAGCCAGTACTGATTCACATGTTGCTGATGGCTTGACATGATTTGGCAACCATCATACACTCAAGTGCATTCTATTGGGCATTGCCCCTCTTTCCCTGGGCCAAGAGGGAAAGAGGGGCAATGTGTTTTTAAGTTGGTCACCTCACGGAAAGAAATCATCGGGCTCTGTTATGATGTGCAGGTCTGTTAACAGAACATTCTTGCTCCTCATTTGCTCTTTCCTAGTTGCGGCATGCAGAAGGGCCCTTATTAATATTCTACATTAATGTTACTGTAGATCCTATATTACAACTGAAAACAAAATTCTCACCTTCAATTAAAAAACAAAATGGAAGTATTAACCCCAAGATCTTACCTGCAGCCTAAGTGACACATTGGTTGATTTCATGTTCCTCAGGACCTCAGATAAGAGAAATGGAGATCCAGATTATAGTACTGAAAGAATTTTCTTAGTATCAGCATCTAATTATTTTATTGGAACTATGTCAGGGACTTACTGTCCATGAGTACTCTCTTCCCAAAATTTATGGGAAGATATGGAGATAGCCCAATTTAGCTATTATGTAACAGGCTGCAGAAAATCGAAACTGGGTGGTTATATTTGCTATGTTGCATATTTTATAGTATAGCTTACAAATACAGTTGGCCCTTGAACAGTAAGGGGGGTAGGGGTGCCAAATCCCCTACACAGTTGAAAAATCTCCATATAACTTTTGACTCCCCCAGAACTTAACTGCTGGTAGCCTACTGTTGACCAGAAGCCTTACCCATAATATAAACAGTCGATTGACACATATTTTGTATGTCGTATGTATTATGTACCATATTCACACAATAAAGTAAGCTAGAGAAAAGACCATAAAGTCATAGGGAGAAGAAAATACTTTTACAGTCCCGAACTATATTTATTGAAAAAGAGTCTGTGTAGAAGTAGACCCGTGTGGTTCAAACCCGTGTTGTTCAGGGGGCAACTATGTATGCTTTAGATCTTGTTGTTCAGGATACTAGGCACTAATTACATGTGACCATTTAAATTTAATTAAAATTTAGTTTACTTTAAAAACTCTGCTCAGTCATACTAGCCACATGTGGCTAGTGGTCATATTGGACAGTGCAGAAATAGAACATTTCCACCATCAAAGAAAATAATATTACACACTACTGCCTTAGATGCTTAGAAATAATTAACAAAATTTAAGATCCCTTAAAGGTCATCTAGTCAAACCCCATATTTAGTTCATCAGTGGGGGTTTTTAGTAGGATTTTACACCTTGTTCAAATCTTAATGTCCTTCTAAAAATGAGTAAGGACAATATTCTTATTTCTGTCTCTGTGAAGAACTAAATTTATGAGGCTCCTTTGTGAGTCAGAGATGTAGCTTTGTAATTTATTCCTGAAAAATTCAAGAGTAGCATTATGTAATTAAATACACCTTGAATTTGAAGGTTAGAGCCCTAAGCTATCATTTACTACATGGATAAGCCTAATAAAGTTATTTAACCTCTCTGAAGGAATATTCATCAGCAGTGGAAGGGAGACTTAATTTCTTCCTGGGTCTGCACTAGAATTTAAACAAGGGCATATATGTGAAAGTTGTTCCTCAGTCTCTGAATATAAATGGTCATTGTTAATTTCTTGTCAATACAGCCCTTAACTGCTCTTTTCCCACAGAGTTTCAGTATTAATGGTGATATGTATTTAATCCCTTCTGGAAACTACTGTTAGATTTCTTGGAACTCTTAAAACAGCTTAACAGTTAAACAGAAGTCTTTAACATACCCTCAGTGTAATGTCTTTGTTGTGGTTATTGTTGCTTAAAAATCTTCTGTGATTTAGAGGCTACTTTCCAGCAGAAATTGGGCACCTGGATTATGTTAATCTTAGGCATTTTCATTTCCATCATTGTGGATTATTAAATTTTGGACATTCTTCTGGAATTAATACACACACACACACATACAAATATACAGACATGATCTGAGTAGCGACAGATGTTGAAAGCTCCAGGATTAGCGGGGCGCCTGGGTGGTTCAGTCGTTAGGCGTCTGCCTTCAGCTCGGGTCATGATCCCAGGGTCCTGGGATCGAGCCCCACATCAGGCTCCTTGCTCAGCGGGAAGCCTGCTTCTCCCTCCCCCACTCCGCCTGCTTGTGGTCCCTCTCTCGCTGTGTCTCTCTCTGTCAAACAAACAAACAAATAAATAAATAACAAACTCCAGGATTAGCCTGCTTCTCCCTCCCCACTCCACCTGCTTGTGGTCCCTCTCTTCGCTGTGTCTCTCTCTGTCAAATAAATACATACATGCATACATACATACATACATACGCTCCAGGATTAGCAAGTCAGATTTATAGACCAAAGGACTCCTAACTCTTCTGCCGTTCCTCTCTGTCTGTTGTTTGCTCCCCTGTCCCTGAGCTCCAGGTTTCAATCAGATTCATGTTTCCAGGGAAGTTTTGCACTGGGAGTTTTTACTCTATCTTGCAGTGGAAGGACTCTTACAGCTTTCCCCCCCATACTGCCAAAGAATAGGTTTTCATTCTCCTTGTAACCCTCTTCTTTTATGGGGGTACAGACCTTTTATGATCCAGTTTGGCTGCATGATCAGTTGATCTTCAGTTAAAGCTGCGTTTATATATGATAGGACTTGAGTTTTCATGTGGCTTATATAAATTCATCAGGAAAAATATTAGTCTTCCACTCTGAAGTTGGTTTTAATTTTGAGCTCTTGCTCTCCTATTTAGAATAATCCTCTTCAATCTGTAATTTCTTCCTAATCTTTTAATTTGTTATCAGTAAACAGTTCCTTTCAATTCGATTTTGTTTATCACTTTATAGGTAGATGACAAGAAACCTATTTTGCTATATTGAAAAACATATTGACTCTTAAAGGGAATCTTAAATATAAAAATTGGCCAAATAGGGGCACCTGGATTGTTCAGTCATTCTAGCGTCCGACTCTTGATTTTGGCTCCTGTCATGATCTCAGGGTGTTGGGATCGAAGCCCACGTTGGGCTCCGCGCTGGAGCCTGCTTAGGATTCTCTCTCCCCCTCTCCCTTTGCCCCTCCCCACCCCCTGCCCCACTTCATACACACTCTCTCTTTCTCTCTCAAAAAAATTAAAATTGTCCAGATAAAGTCTTGGGTCTCGGATATCTATTTAAAAGTTGCTGTAATCCCCAAATACAGATCCGCAGACACATGGGACAGACACTCTGCAAATCTGACTCACAGCCTTTATCGAGAGTGACACACTTTCATTGTCACCAATCCAAATTGTCTTAGAGCATTTTTCCACCTCAGTGTTCAGGTTCTAATACTGACCTTCCAAGATAGATGGTGACTTTGAACATCTCTGATGCTATGATTTCAGTGTAGGACTCTAAGGGAGTCACAGTTCTGGTTTGTGCATAGAATACCAACATGAGCTTGCTCTTCATACAATTATCTAAGGCATTTTTGCCGTGGCTTCGGTTCGCTGTGCTCCTTGATGAAAAGCACAGAGAACTACTGAAAGAAACTGGCGATCAAAGCAGACCTCAGAAACCAGCGTTTCCTGCTGGGATCTCCTGTTTCCTGGCCCATCTTTAATAAGAGCTATTAAGGAAGAGCAGAGCATATATACCTGGAAGCCTGAGCCCTCTCCTTCTCTCTCAGCTCTGGTATCAGGCCATGGGAAAGAGAAGCTACAGCAAGTGCTATGTTCAGGTTGTGACGTTTTCAAGCTGATGTCCCAAACTTAGACACTTAGCGAATGTTGGCATCCAAGGCCGTTTTCTCAGGGTATGCAATAGATCAAAAAGGAGTCTGGGGCTCTACTTTTGTCCTTGGTCTTTAGGACGTGTATATAAGCCACACAATAAAATCAGGGCCTTTCTACTGTATACCATTATATAAGGTTTTTTAATCAAAAACTTGGCAGGCCACTGAACTTGGTACCTAGCCTATGGCTTCCTAATCACTTTTCCTATTTAAAAAAAAAAAAATCCATCTTGTGACAACCTTGAGGCTAAAAATAATGGAATCTACGCCAAAAATGTGTTTGCCTAATTGCCTATTGGCAGCATCCTTGGCATAAGGATTTGAGGCAGGATCTGTTTGGATTCATATTTTGCTGTATTTGTTGGAGTGATCACATTTTGTTTTCGTCACACTTGTTACATCCTGTCCTAGGGCAGGTGGGCCTTTACTTCATAATTTGGAAACTGTTGGTCATTTGTTGCTGTGTGATTCAGGCCATATAATGACGCCATAGAAACCTAGCTAGTCTAAACAGCTCCTACTTTAAGATAGAGAAGTGGTGAGTGAATTTAATGATGTTACTTTTTACTTTCACTTTCTGAACTTTGCAGTTACGCATCAGGAAGCTTGTTACTTAAGACTAATGGTGTACATTTTTAAAAATTTTAGTTATTTATTTTAAAGGCTTTTACAGTTTCACTTTTTTGTTTCCTACAGGACGGCAATGATTCAGATGAATTCATGTGAATGGAGGAAAGGACCTTTGAAAGATGTGAATTTCGGGACAATTGCAGACGGTTTGATTTCATCTGTGTTTGGAGTTATAAAAAAAAACAACTAAAATTCTACCTTCATTCTACACAAATATTACCAGCGTTGGAGTTTAAAAAACAAAAAAAGTGTTCCCTTTTTTGCCGACGGAAAAGGATCAGATATTTATAATATATTTGGACTTGAAAAACAGCATATAACTTTAGGAAAGTGAAAATATTTTTGCTGAAACATGTCTTGGTACCTCATGATAGTTGGCTGCCCTTGTTCTTGGGATAGACTTTAGAACAGACCAGCTCTGAGAAGTATTTGTTACTGTGGTCTGTCCCTGAGAACAGATGTCTTGAGAAGCTTTTTCATATTCTTAAAATAGCTTCACTTCTGTTAAGAAGAATGTATCAGTGAGCAATGTATGCGAACGTTGCCCTTGGCCCCGATTTCCTGAGTAGAACAAGAAAGCTTACGGGTTTTGATGGTAATAGTGGTATTTTCAGAAGATTGCCGGCTTCAGTATTCCCGTCCCATGGTGTCGTGTGAGTCTGTTAGCAGCGTTGTCCTCAGCTCTCCCCTTGTCCTGGCTTCCACCTTCCGCGTCCTTTCCCTGAGCAAGGGCCTCCCCTGCTAGTTACCATCGTGCTTAGAGAAGTAGTCCGTGTTAGTCATGGTTGGGCACGCGGCAGTGTTTACCTGAGTGCCGAGTCCCAAGCCACATACGTGACGACTTCCAGGCTCTGGAGCTGTTGCTCAGCGCTGAGGGGAGAAATAGGAAGGCATGATCTGAATGATTTTGAGGATGTCAGGCTACCTGATTTTTGTCTTGGGATGCACTTGCAGAAAGCAAACATCCCGTGCTGGGGTTATGATCTTAGAAGGAAGCATTTCACCAGCCAGCCAAGTAATTAGTTTATTTACCTTGAGACAATATTTACTTTGAGTTGTATCTCCAGAGTTCAGATTTCTCAGTTGTAGGCCCAGTAACTTAATATGTAACAGGACTACTCATCTGAACCACTTACTCTCCAGTGGGATTCTGAATAGAAGGTATATTTTTGTTGCAATCCCGGTAGGAAGCAACAAAACAAAACAAGTGAAAGGAGAAGAGAACAAAGCCCGCAGGTCAGGAGGCGCACACATTCACATTTTAGCCACACCCAGAATTCTACACGCAGCTTTATTCTTCCTAACTGTATTCTAACCTGGTGAGAGTTATCCTGTCAGAGCACTTTGGAACTGTGGGTAAAACTAAACGACCTCAGTGTTTCTATTTATCCCAAGTCGGTGTGTGGGGCGGAACTGGAAAATTTCCCTGAGGCATAACTTGGCCAGATTTTGAAGAGGGGATATGGGAGATTTTTCCCATATGATGACTCCAGAAATTAGTGATTTTTTGTGTGTGGGTGTGTGTGTGAGATAACATTCAGCCTGGAGTTCTGTGATTTTAGAAATGTAAAAATAAAGAATCATTTTTTTATTTGGAAGGACATTAATATATGAACTCATAGAATTTGCTCGTTATCCCCATCCCCACGCTGGTTTTGGAGTGATCTCGCTATAAAAAACCTCGTCCATCCAAGGCTCAACATGGCAGCTTCTAGAGCTTCTTCCTCCCTCGTGGCCACATGCGTCTGCCCTCTAGATGCCCAGGGGGCTGAAGTGGATGACCTTTCCCAAGCCCTCTGTGGACTGAGTGGAAGCTGGTAGGGCTCCTGCCCAGCCCACAGGCACTTCTTTCACGCTGCGGCCAACATCTAGAATGGGGAGAGCTTGCCTCTGGCCTCACCCGTGTTACCTCAGCCTGCCACCGCTTCTGAAGGACTCCTCTGCCTGCTGTTACAGCAGGTAGAGTTACAGCTTCTGGAGCAGACGTCTATGATCAGTGTAGTGTGAGAGATCCTGGGGTCCGAATTTTAAACCTCTCTGAATTCTCACCTCACACTGCTTTCAAGTGTCAAAGCCTCTCTGAATTGCAGAGTTTAATTCCTAGCTCTCGAACTTCTTGAGCTGCTCTGTGCTGATTTCCCCTGCCTCTGTGTGGGGGGCAGTCTTTTCCCCAGTGCCTGTGGATCCAGAAAAAACAAGGACCTTTTCTCTTGAGGACGTTGGTTCCGTGCCCACAGGTCACACTGTTGCCACTGAAACCATCTCATTTCTTGCTAGTGACATGTTTCTTAAACTACCTGTAGGAAAATTGCAAATCGTTATATTTAGGAGCTGTGCCTATGATCAACTCCATGCATTCTGAGGGTATGTCTTTATAACTGTGTCTCATTTCCCTGCTCCGATCTGCATGCCAGTGAGGGCCGCGTTATTTAATCTGCTTCACAAGCTCAGCTCTTTTACAGCTTTAGAATTCACTTCTTACCAGCCTTTGTTGATCTAGGGTCACGATCTTTGGGCGAGGGCGCTTCGTCACCGCGCTGGTGCTGGAACACACGTGGGGAAGCTTACCAAAGTCTGGAAGGTGTGGACTACAGCACGCTTTAGTTGAACCCTGTCAGTAGCTCTTGTTTATTTTGTTGTTTTACTTTTAACTCTTTCTGGAAGCCCGGCTTTTGGTGAGCCTTTAAACTATCCAGTGCCAATGGTGTCCCCACTCAGGAAGGAAGGGGGCAGGCATACACAGAGCAGGAGGAGAAATAATTCAGCTCTGGCCTCCAGCTGGGGACCGGCTCTCCTGCCACCTTTGCATCTGAGAGTCAAAGCCCTTGTTCTCTGGGCTAGAACAGGTTCTGGGGAAAACCGCTCAGGACACAGAAATAGAACACCTTTCCTTTCCAGTTTTTCCTGAGCTGTGATATTGAAGCCTGCTTTGTCTCTGTTTGATTTCAAATACAGCATTGTGAATAACAAATCCCAGTGAGTGGGCAACCTTTTGATCTTAATGTAGACTATAAAACAATCAAACTGTCCTATAATCAGAAGCGTAAAATTAGAAACTGAAATTCCAAGCTAAGTGTCAGTCGCAGCCCATCTCACTCCATCCAGTAAGTGTGACAGCTCAGAAATGAGGCCACTGCCTGAGCCCAGGCAGCCTCCCATTCCAGCTTCACTTGGAGCTCTTCTCTGCTCGCCTGGGCCCGGCACGCGGCAGGAGGCCTTAGGCGCGCTATTCATTTCACAAATGAGAAGATGCCAACTGCATATTCATCACGTCCTGGAGGAATGATATGTAAAATACAATAAAAGCTTATAGTTTGAGTAGAATCAAGTGTGTGTGTGTGTGTGTGATTTTACTTTTCACTTTGCTTCCCCAAGCCCCTGTCTCACTGATGGGATGTGCATACCTCTTTTAGGTGAGTAGGAAGAAGGAGGTTCTTGGCTGCCTGAAATGATACCCTTCAAACGGTCAGTTTTGCTCCTTAGCAAGAGGAAAAGAGCAACTCAGGGTGAAGGGAAGATTGCCCGAGAATTCCAGGAAGAGAAGCAAAAAGCCTGGATCTCAAGGGCCATGATGTTTGAGCACTAGTAGTTGAAGTTTACAACTTGATACCCCGCCTTCCAGAATTCTTAGGGGTCTGCTGAGATTTTGACCAGGATGAGGCTACACTTCTGAAGACTTGCTGGAATGGTATTTTTTTTTTTTTTTAAGATTTTATTTATTTGAGAGAAAGAGAGCATGAATGGGGGAGGGGCAGAGGGAGGGAGAAACAGACTCCCCGCCGAGTAAGAAGGCCCACGCTGGGCTCATCACTCGATGCCATGTCCGCGAGATCATAACCTGAACTGAAGTCAGAAGTTGAACCAACTGAGTCACCCAGGCCCTGGAATGGTATCCCTGATGAATGTAGGAGCTTTGGACCAGCGTTATTTACAGGTTCACCCCTTCTGTGGTGGTGCTTTTTCTGTAACTGAGTATGTTTGCAGGGGGAGGTCTTGGGGTAGAGGGAGCCACAGAAACATTCAAGTGTCTCTCCCAGCCACGAAAGCATATTTGAATTCTTCAATGATTATTAGAAGACATTTTTGAGTCCTATTTCTCACTAGTCGGGGCACTACCTACATCCTTTTGGTTTTAACTGCCTTAGCTATGAGAATTCTTGGATTTCAGTGTTTGAGTAAACTAATACGGAGAATATAAGTTGAAACCAGAATTTTCATACCAAAAATGTAGAGGTCCATGCATTTACTTGGTGGCCTCAGGAATACACTGCAAATACAAATACCTATCTCACACACGTGTCACCCGTGGTTTATCATTAGAATAGATTTTACCTCTTTTTCTGGCTCACGTTGATGGCTTCCCTCTGCCTTTTTTTTTTTTTTTTTAAAGATTTCATTCATTTATTTGACAGAGAAATAGACAGAAGAGCACAAGCAGAGGGAGAGGGAGAAGCAGGCTCTGCACTGAGCAGGGAGCCCGATGCGGGGCTTGATCCCAGGACCCTGAGATCATGACCTGAGCGGAAGGCAGACGCTTAACCCTCTGAGCCACCCAGGCGCCCTTCCCTCTGCCTTTTAATCTCACAGTATCAGTTACTTGAGGAACTTCCCACCTTAGTCGTTGTGACTGTAGTTCTGCCCCGAAGCCAGATGAAATAAACTTCTCTGCTGTTGGCAGGCACCGATTGGCACTGACCTGGCATTTTCTGCCCGTGTTGATAGCCAGGGAATGGAGGCCAGGGGAAATGCAGGTTCACCCTTAATATCTTCCGTAGCGTTTCCTCGTTCCCGAACCTGGTGAGTGGGTGTCGATATTTAAGACTGGGAAAAAAAAAACCCAAAGAACTCCCCTAAGTCAGCATGCGTTTTCAGTCCCACATCAACCCCGTCCTGTAACCACTGCAGTAAAAATACAAGCCTAATGGCCTGACATTTCACATCCTGCCTGGCTGAGGCCTAGGCGCCTGCACTCCTGCTGGTATTTTGGCTTCGGCTTCGGCACTTTGCCTCGCAGAGAGCAGGCTAACATTTGCGTCTGATTCCGGGGATCTGCTGCTGAGAATAGGATCTTTCAGCTGCCAAAGGCTGGTCCGTTGGTCTTGAACCTTTTTGGCTCCTTGGCCAAATCCAGGGTCAGTGGGTCCAAATTACAGGCTGAAGAAGGTCGAGAGACAAATACTGTTAGAGCAGCAGTGCCCTTGACCCAGCTCAGCCTTGCCAGACTTCTCTTCCATTGTGAAGCCCTTAGCTCTGTTCTGTCACTTCAAGACTCGAACTTCCTCATTTTATCATTAATGTCCTCAGTATCAACGAGGCTTATGTAACTCATTTCAAAACTAGAAATACTAGTCTTTGGAACTCTTGTAGTCCATTCTGCCTTCATTCCTAAAGCCAGTTCCAACCTCCCCTCCTCGGGGCAACTGCCTGCTTGGCTTCACCTGCTGGCATTCACTCGGATGTGGCTCTGGGGTGCTCAGCCTTACTCTCTGTTTGCTCTGGTAACTCAGATTGCACTGGAGCTGCTACTGGGGGATGCCCTGACCCCGCTTGCCCCGGGCTGGAAGGCAGCCCAGCCTGGGAGCTGGGCGTGGACTTGTATCCTCACTGCCTCCAATGTCCTGTGTGACCTTGGGTGGCTTAGTCAACCACTCTGAACTCCCATTTCCTCTGGAGGGGTTGCCAAGCTCCACTGTTCCTTCATCCCTGCCCTATGGCCCATGGGAAGAAGATCATACAGAGTAATGGAACTTGGGCCTGAACAGCCTGTTCAAGGTGTACCTGATAGGGAACGATTCCCAGCACTCCATTATCTCCCTACCTCTGTCCAAAGGAAAGCGGACATTCATATCCAGGTGGCCATCCCCCTGGACTATGAGACCATGGACCACTATGACTTTGACCTCTTTGCCAGAGAGTGTGTCTGACCATGTGGGCTACGCCAAGGTGAAGGTCACCCTCATCGATGAGAATGACAACCTGCCTATCTTCAGCCAGCCTGACTACACGTTGGCTTGTATGAGAATGTCACCGTGGGGACCTCTGTGCTGACAGTCCTGCTCCAGACCTCTCGTGAAACTGTGGGCCTGCTCTCCTTGCCTCTGCTGTTTGCTGAGACCTCACCTCTGAGAGCCTTCATTTCCTCATCTGCAAAATGGGCATGAGACCTCCCAAAGCTGCTGTCAAGACGTGTGAATGTTGGATGTGCAAGCATCCCCTGGGCCCAGCCACTTCCCAGACGTCTACTTAAAAGAAGAGAAAAGTACAGAGTGATGTGTTCCCAGTTCCCCTTCTTGGAGGCAACCAGTGTTAGAAGTTTTTTGTCAAAGGTAGAATTTCTCTATCTGGACTCAGCTGAGCTGGGCCTGCATATAGCAGCAGCTCAGCTAAGGAGGGAGGGGAGAGGGGCTTCTCTCTGCCTTTGCCTCCTGGGCCATCTAATCCAAAATGCCCAGCCACTTCCCACTACCCACCACCATGTCCCAGTCTCCCCCAGGTGCTTCCAGAGCTCCTAGCAGGTAGGAACTTTGTGGCCTCTCCCACCACCCTGCCAGGCCTAGTCTCCCCTGCCCCTGCTTTTGCCCACGGTCAGCCCA